GGGGGGGGGGGTTAACCCCCTAAACCGCCTAGATCCGCCCCTGCAACATCTTATGCCTTCTTCTTCTTCTCAATATTGATTTACTGGTCGGGTTACATTATTTGCTGGTCTTTAAGAATCACCAGATTTCAGAGGATTCAAACTTTCACAACAAAAACTTCTCCATGTTTCAGTCCTTGCGCGATTGTCGATCTCCAGCTCCAGCAGATATTGGTCGTCAGCGTGCACACCGGTACTACCAGCGCAGTATAGCCACTGTGCTGACGGCCGCACCGCGAGCTTCCGTTGTTATCGGGAATACTCATAGAGATGGTAGAGAAGTCTAAGTTCCATTTCATTGGTTAAAGTTTTGAAAATTAATACTCAATATTGTGTTAAAGTTATATCAGAAAAGATAATCTTAATTTTATAATTCCACAGGGGCAATTTTTAATTTTGCAATCGCCCCCGTGAACAACCTGACGGGGGCGATTTTGGTTCTTACGGGGGCGAATCGCCCACCGCCCCCGTGTATTTTGAGCGCTGTAATATGGACATATAACTAGTTGAACTAGAACAGTATAACTGGGCGGGGCTTAACGTGACCTCGAGCGAAAGGAGACCTGACCTCTCATTTCCGCTTCCATTTCATGATCGCAGTAGAAAACTGCGCACCTACATGTACAATATACGACATTTCGCTATAGAGTTTCAGGATTACTTTCTTCTATGTGTGGACATCCTGGAATTTATACGATGATTCTTTATACAATGTTTCTTGTGTGTGGACACCCAAAAATTTATACGATGATTCTTTATACTACGTTTTGTTATAGAGTTTCGGGATAAATTGTTTTGTGTTTGGACACGCTGTATAACACTGGCATTGTCTACATAGTGTGGTACTGGTAAGCAATGAATAAATTAACATGTTTAGATTGGTGTGATATGAATTCAGATCTGTAGGAGCAGGTGGGGTCTGTGATGCGTGAAATTAAAATTATTTGTGAACACTAAAATGATCTCCATAATTTGATGTGTGTTTGATGTACACTACATGTACATGTACATGTATGTGTATGAGTGATCATGCATTTTAATTACAAACAAGAAATAATCCACATATGACAAATGTACATGTTTTGTACGTATACATGTACTGTATGTTAACTATGTACAGTACCTGTTTAAAGTAAATACATGTAGAACCGATTGCTACTAGTACTATTAGTGCAGCATCACATGTCTTTGAAACTAAATTGGGTGTGATAGTTTTGATGGTGACCTGCTGTATGAGAGATAAAAAGTTGATGAGGTTTTTCACCTCCACTATCATTATCCAAGACATCTGCCAATTGGTTTGGCATGTATGTATGTTCGTGATCATGTCACATCCGCTAGCACCCATTAAGTACCACTTGGTACTAAACATGAATGTTCTTCCTATGTTTTTTTCCTCACTGCACCACACATCCAAAGAAGTTGGGTTGAAAGACTTTTGAAAGACATCAAGTTTGGAACCGTTCGTTCGTGTCTCCTTAGATCAAGATTAATGTAATCTTGATCTTCGGAGTAGTTGCTACAACCGGCTGTGTCAGACACGTTGCCCCGGGGTGCGAGATAGGACTCTTGTAGCCTGCTCCCATTTAAAACAATTATACAATAACAGTTAACATTACATTTAATTAATAGTATGAAACTATTAAAATTACTCTCATGTTACGGGGAAAAATATTGCATATATATATATCATGAATCAATTGATTTGGTCGATCCAGTTCGATGGCACAAACACGTACGCACTACTGGACAGAGATCCTAATAATTACAGAGTTTGGAACCGAATGACCTCTTAAAACCCTCATCAGTATTAATGTTGACAGAAAGGATTGCCCAAGAAGAAGTTTATTTAATTTTTGCAGTAAAAATCAAACAAGCAAACTTTCCCTCCTTTTGAAATCCAAGCTTCAAATATATGTGGTTTGCCATGTTTTGAAACCCAATACCCCGAAATTACGTTTGCAATAAGGCCATTCTTTTTTTGCTTTGCAGGATTAATGTTCTGGTAGCCCCTGTAATGGTGTGAGAAAATTATTGTAATTGGTGATGAAAAGAAAGGTAAATTGCCATTTTATTTCAGGAAGTTGAAGTTTGAAATCAAATCTATTTTATCCCACATTGAAGGATTTATCATTTGAAATGATTTCTATGCTGCTGCTTTTTTTTTTCTTTTTTTTTTTCTTTTTTTTTTGGGGGGGGGGGTAATCTCATAGTTCTCTTGTACTGTATGTACTGATCATACATGTATTTCATTGAATTATGTTATTTCTGTTTTGGTACATCATATACAAGTCAATAAAAGTTATACTTCTCCAAAATACAGGCAACACTTGTCTCTGATTTTGAACTCACTGTTGAAGTTTTGAACCAGTTTGCCAACTCAATTAAGATGTCAGATACAAGCCTTATTGACCCAGAAAAGGGATTAGAGTTGGATTAAGGGCTTAATTGAATGGGGTTTCAAAGAGCAATCAGATTATACTTGACACTAATCCCAAATTTAAACCCAATTACACTTCCTAGTTTCCATGCTTGCATAAAGCGTGCTTCACAAGATGAATGAGATCTGACACATTTTTTTAGGGTGGAGCTTAGCAGGTCTGAGAACATTATTTTAATAAAATATTTAAAAATCAATGAAATATATTTAGATGTTTGAATAACAAAATATGAGTTTTGTGCAACCCCGCACATCAACAGGAATCAACTTTTATTTGGATGTCACCCAACCTTTAAGCATGTACACTGTTGATTTATCAAGAAGAAATCATATTCTTTATACAGTCATTTCATGAAAAATTATTCCAACTTTATAGGCAACATTGTTTAAAATCACAAACTTTCATACATGTATGTACAAAATGTTAGCAGAATTCATGAGTAAAGATTTGTTTCATGCTGTAAAATTATTCGCATTGCCACTGACACTACAACATTTTAGCAATACATGCTAGCATTTTACCTGTGAAAATTGCTGATCGTTTTGTAAAAAGTGTATGTTTTAAAAAAAAACTGAGTTTATAGTTGTCAGTGTCAAATATGGTAGCTTGATCTCACTAGGAAGTTACTTAGAGAAAAGCTTTTGAAATTGGGTGGAAAAAAATCAAGGCATACCGATTAGTTCTGATTTGGTGATATTTCATGAAAGTTGTACAGTCTTTATAGTTTATACATCTTGAATGATTGAAAAAAATAATTTGTTTCTTAGATAATTATCACCAATCCATGTAAGACAAGTTAATCTGACATTCTTAGAATTAAAAACAAAAGAGTATTACTGTAGTAAATACTGCTTCATCTGAATGTAAACAATGTCATCAGGAGTCATTTTCAGATCTTTCATCTTCTTTCTCCATAAATACTGTTTTCACACTGGCAATATTTTGCTTAACCCCGTACTATAGGTGGGGTTAAGGGGGGGGGGGTCTTAGCCCCACCTATAGTACGGGGTTAAGCCTATTCCACTTTCTGTTCAGACTGGTTTTTACCAAAGTGGGCTAAAGTTGGCTAACCCCACCTATAGTACGGGGTTAACTAACCCTGCAAAATAGCAGGGCTAACTCCGCAATTGTGGTGCTAACTCCTGCTAACCCCGCAATTGCGGTGCTAAGCAAATGAATGAGAACAGAAACGAAAAATAGTCTGGTACTACGCGATGGAGCGTATCGCAGCTGGCCAGATGCGAAGTATGTCCAATCATAACATACACGATATCCGGGGTTAACGAAATGCAGTGAGAACAGCGGGAATTTTCTTATTCCGGAATAGGCGTTAGTACGGGACTAAAAACAGCGAGTGTGAAAAGCCAAAAAAATAGTCCAGGGTTAAGGATAGCATACCTGCCAACCACCCCGATTTAGGCGGAGTTCCTCCGCATTTTTCATACCAACTCCGAATTCCGAATGCATGCCTCAAAACTCCGATTTTTTTAAAAATTTATTTTAATTTTTTTTTTTTTTTTTTTTTTTTTTTTTTTTTTAGAGTGTAATGCACTTGAAGTTGGAGAGTATATAACTATTATGTTTGTATTTCGAAATGTAAAGCGCCTTGAGCATGTTCATGTAAAGGCACTCAATAAATACCAATATATATGTATGTATAAGACTAAAGCATAACACAGCACTGATAACCAGATCACGCCGACATCCGCGCTCGCGCTCATAGAAGATATACACAGCGCAGCCCGAACGTGATCGTTAGTCCCCCCCCCCCCCCCCCCCCCCCCCCCCCCCAATCTACGGGCTACTACCCAATCCTTCGGTGGTTCGCGACCTCGTAGTCCATCCAGAAAAATTTACTCCTAATTTCTCTTGTCTCAGGTTGGCAGGTATGGGATAGTACAGGGCTAAGCAAAGTACGGGGTTAAGCAAAACCAGTGTGAAAAGAGTAAAAGAGTTCTACTTTTAGATCACAGGCTTATAGCCACATTCATGTATTATCACAGCTTGTAAATGTTAGCATTCCTATGATAAAGGCCTTAAGCATTGATGATGGCAGCAGACCCCAAACCTTGTGCCAAACACTCATCACAGTCAGAGCAGAACAATAGTCTTTTTCTTGCTCCTTGAGCCCAAAGCTTGACTTCAAAGGATAACAATAGCAGGCTCTTGCACTTCATTGATCCGATAGCGTACCCATGCTTGTAGTACCTGTGATGAAAACACCACGCTACGTGGTATTCTGGATTTGCAGACCCTATGTGGGTAAATGAAGTTTGTGCAGCTCAATTTAAAAGGTTGAGAAAGGTTGCCAATAGATAAACCAGTTTACATGTACATGGTATAACACCATGGAGATACATGACAAGTGTTGGCCACATGCATTCCATGTGGGATCCACTGGATCTAAAGTAGGAGAGCTAGGAGGAATCGTTGACCATCGTTAGCGTTTCACAGGGCCTGATTCTCTAGACTACTTGGATAAAAAGAGATAAAGTTCTGGAATGGGATCCATTTATTTGGTTTGTGAAGTGGCATCCAAACACACAGCCTTCAGAGTAGAGTGCAGTGGTGTGTAATCATATTATGACCTGCGCTAATGGATTGTTTTACAGGATCAGAACATCGCGCAAAGATTGGAATCAAACTGTTAATGGTTGTGGATCACTTGTGAATGAATTTAGCCATTATGGAACAAAATGGGAGGCAGGTAATGTTCAATTCTAATAGGAATTCTCTTACCAAGGAGGTACCACAACGAACAGTTTGGGTTTGCATGTACATTTACACTACATAATTATTGCATTGATACCCATTGTGAAATTGATGCTTATTGTATTTTTCATATTAAAGTCAAGAATGAAAGATTTACTGGTTGAATTAGGGCCTTTGTTGAAAACTTTTAGTTATACAATGTAAGCTTCATTCTGTCACATTCTCAAGAAACTTAAATCAATTTGTCTTATATTAAAAAATGTACAAACTTGGTAAGACTATTAAATTAAAGTAAGAGTTTTACTTTTAATGATTTAGTTACGGTATAAACTGTACCAGTATCTACAACTTTTTTTTTGTCAATGTGACTTAATTTTGATACAAACATAGCTGTTATTATCATGTGTAGGACTAAATAGAAACGGTGGCAAATAATAATAATAATGATACTCCGCTTTTATAGCGCTTAATACATCAATGATGTCTCTAATACTCTTTTCACACTGGTTTTGCTTAACCTCGTACTTTGCTTAGCCCCGTACTATCCTTAACCCCGGACTATTTTTTTTGCTTTTCACACTCGCTGTTTTTAGTCCCGTACTAGCGCCTATTCTGGAATAAGAAAATTCCCGCTGTTCTCACTGCATTTCGTTAACCCCGGATATCGTGTATGTTATGATTGGACATACCTCGCATCTGGCCAGCTGCGATACGCTCCACTGCGTAGTACCGGACTATTTTTCGTTTCTGTTCTCATTCATTTGCTTAGCACCGCAATTGCGGGGTTAGCAGGAGTTAGCACCACAATTGCGGAGTTACTGTAGCCCTGCTATTTTGCAGGGTTAGTTAACCCCGTACTATAGGTGGGGTTAGCCAACTTTAGCCCACTTTGGTAAAAACCAGTCTGAACAGAAAGTGGAATAGGCTTAACCCCGTACTATAGGTGGGGCTAAGACCCCCCCTTAACCCCACCTATAGTACAGGTTAAGCAAAATATTGCCAGTGTGAAAACAGTACTAGTGTCTTTACAGATCATTACCTGGGTCAATCAGATTCAGGCTTACCCTCACACAATGTACATACATTCTCTACCCCCTGGGGAGCATTCCAGCCAGGCGTCATTTAAAGGTACTACTGTACATGTATGTCCCATTTGCAGGCCAAAAAAATGAAAAAGTTAAATTCCAACTGCATTTGAAAGATTATACTAATTTAGAACTCCCCTAAAAAAGGTGGGGCTTGAAAATGTCTTCAAGTGGGGAAATAACGACTATTAGTTGTCAAATCGACTTTAGGGCTATAGAGCCCAAAAGTAATAGTCTTGATTTTCAGACAATTGTACCAAATGGTCATACGTTTTATGCTGCGCAAAGATTCAATCAGTTTAATCTTGGCCATCACAAGAAGTGGGTTATTGATGTAGACAAATGCTAATGTACCCTTTACAACTCTTTTCATGTTATTAGCAAAGAAGAAAAAAAAAGCCAGTCAGTGACTCAATAGTGTCTGACAGTGAAGTCTATAAAGTAAACGGGTTTCCTTGCATAATTTGAATATGAGGACACTGCTAACGTTTAAATTTCACAGATAGGACATACATGACATATTCATAATTCCTGCAAAGTTCTACAGCATTTGAGGTTGGCTGCAAAAGGGACATAGTACCTTTAAGTGTACACTTTCTCATCTATAAACCACAATAACTTTCGCATCCTACATGTACCAGGTACCCATTTAACACCTGTGTGGAGAGTGGCAAATTTAGATTACCCGGTTACGTCTTGCCAAACGACATTAGTGCCGCGGCGGGACTTGAACTCCGTACCTTGTGATCTGCAGTCAGGTGACTTATCCATTAGACCACAACACCTCTGTTAATAGTATATATGTTAACTCTGTGTCAAAATAATACCCTTCTGGCTCCAAACCGACTAAACGTTGAGTTTTGTAGCTCATTGACCCTGTGACATACATTTGAAATAGACTCTACTTGAGTTTTTACTGTGATTGCTTATATTTGCTTATTTTTATAATAACCCATCAGATGGAAACAAATCGGTCATTTACCCATAATGAGCTTGTTTACTCTGTCATTAAGCTACTGTTCATTCTGCACTTTATTGTAGGTCCTGTGTGGTATTTCTTGAAAGAAATGGAGGCTTTTGTACTCAGTTCTGGGTGGTTTAATATTAGGCCCGTCTTCACTATCTCGAGATTGCCAAATATCCAGCTATTTGAACTATCCCGATCGCAAACTATCCAGATCGCAAACTATCCAGCTATTTGCGTCTTCATTAGAACGAAGTAGCAAATTAGCTGGATAGTTGGTCGGGATAATATCCCAAGATATCCCAAGATATCTCGGTCTAGTTTGCAAAATATCCCACTATTTCCGAACTAGCGGGATAGTTTGCGACCGTCTTCATTAGACCGAAGTCCGGAGTCAAATATCCCGATCCCATCATGCACAACGATTTCCGGTTCGCACATGCGATCTATACCGCTCAGCGCGCTAGTACAACCACTGACCTCGAGTAAGCACGGAAAACGGCAAACTAGACTGAGATATCTTGGGATATTATCCCGACCAACTATCCAGCTTGTACAGCTGTTTTCTCAGATGACAGATGTTTTGTGATACCAGGCCCATTTACACAAGCCCTGAAACCATTTTGAAAAGCCATTCTTTCATTCTTTTTTTTTTTACTGATATTTATTTTACACTACTGGAAAAACCCATGACATGAGAGTCTGTCAGTGTTTGATTATTCTGATGTTTGGGGGAGTTTTGTGTACATGTGCTACTTACATGTATTTCTTCCCTGCATACATGTACATGTATGTGTTAGCACAGAAGCAAGGAGAGACATGTCACCAAATACCAGAATGATTCACCGATGTTTTGAGAGCAAATATTTACACCGCCAAAACCGGTGAAGTTTTTTGCTTGCAGTACAAATGCAGCCACTGATAAAAGATCCATCGTTGACAAGAAGTTACATGTACATTGATTCAATTGATGTCTTTTTCCATTGTCAGGATGCTGGAGACTTTTCATAAAGAATTATATACAAACTGGTTATATTCAGGTGCATCCGGCGACACAGGGGCTCAGGCGAATTAGCCCCAAAAATGCCAAAAAGAGCCCAGAAAGTCATGTGCATAGAGTTCAATGCAAAACAAATTAAAGGGAGATATTTTCATGCAAGCAAGGTTGAAAAGTAGCCCCCCCCCCCCCCCCCCAATTTTTTAAATAATTGTTTTCCCTGTCAGAACCTGTCCACAGCCCTTGAGCAATTTTTGCCAGAGAATTATGAGCACTATCTCTTCTGTTTTTGGTGAACTTTGATAATAGACAGACAGACATGACTTGAACGTGACTTTGATCTGCTGATACTATAAACCATGGTCAGGGTTTGTTTGACAGCTAGTCTGGTGATTAATGCATTGCTATAAAGGCAGTAGCATCTTCAATCTGCCCATTAGAATGTAAACCCCTCCATGTACAGCATTCTTCTTGTGAGGCCCACTACTGCCTCAAATCTGGGGAGGTTGTACAATATTTATTCCGGTACATGTACAGCGTATCAATAGATGTCAATAAAATATCAAAATTACATTTATGCCAGATACTACTTTGCATGTACAGGTATGTACACAATGTATGCTACATGTGCATGTACTGGACATGTATATTAAGTGGACTTGATCCTTTTGATATTAAATGTTTTAATTGTTTTATATGCGGAGTCCTTAATCTCATGATGACGTGTAAAAAGTACTTTTCTGTTAACGGATGCCCTGTGAGGATTTGGTGTAGTATAACTGTGATTTTCTCACAGTGATATTTAAGTATTATTTTGTTTGTTTACCAGAGCTCTTTTGTCAGTTCACCAGAGGTAAATTGCTCTCCACTCCTGTGTATTATTTTTGCTAGGTAAAACCAAGTCACTGCATGTTGCCAAGTGTTTGTGAAAAGTTGTTTTTACTTTTATTTCTCCCTACAGTATTGACCATTCACATTCACTAGTTGTTTTCAAAATGTGCTGATACCACTTTTTAAAATGTTGCATATAATTAGATATTGGTATAATACACTATTAATATACCTCATTGTGAGATAACACAGTAACATTTAAAATCTATTTTCGCTTTTCCTGTAGCCCTGATCATGGAATATCTGAAATTATTTTGTATTCCCTACTAAATGTACCGGGGATCAATTTCTACTATTTTTAGAACAGTCATTTACCAAAGTTTTGTGTCTTTTATTCTTGCAGATCGTAATGCTTGGACCCGCACAGTGTGTATTCCTGTAGCTTTTCTGCTGAAGTCCTAGGCTAGGGAGAATAGTGGAGAAGGGCTAAACAGACGGGGGCTGGCCCAGCCCTGCGAAGAAGAAGGGATATACAATGGCCTCTGGATCGATCAGTGCACTTAACGAGCGCTTGAGAAGCTCCGCTGGCAAAGGAAACTGGGAGGAAATCGAGCAGCTACTTCGGCATGGGGCAACCTTTGAAGCTGATAAGGTACATTTATATTGTACTTTAAATAGGATCCATGTTTTTTTGAAAATAGGAAGGAGGAGGCACTTTTTTTCTCTTCAAACTGGCCGCTCAAAATGGCCGCTCAGTACATTTTCCCTGACAATCTGGTTATTTTTCAAGATGGCCACAGGCATTTAAAAAAAAAAAAAATCAGAAATAGATCGTTTTAGCAGTGTTTATCATGATTTTTTTCTTTAAAAAAAATAAAAAGATTAAAAAAATAAATAAAATATTTATTTTAAAAAATGGAAGCGTGCGGGGACGCTGAACATGTACATGTATATATTTTTTAATGGCCCTAGGTTTTAACATTTGACTATGAAACTAGAAACTTTCACAATTTGTTAATGATGGGCCTTTTTCTGTGATATGAATTTCACATATTTTATCAAAATTCACGTTGTGATAATGTGAATATTCTGTTCAGGCATGCCTACATATACATCAAACTGAGATTGTAGGACTATGCCTTCTATGTATTAAATGATTCATCTTTCTTTGTATTTGTTATACTGTAGGATTATCTTGAAACAAAGCTATTTGTGTATATGTAGTTTTGAAAAATATATACTATTTATGCTAATGATATCTTTAGGGTTTCAAAAAGATATGCATATATGTGTGTCAAATAGACTGGTATCCAAACTGAGTACTTGCAGAAGTAAGGAAACTGATGCTGGTCAAATTTGTGTGCAAATTAGTCCAGCTTGCTTCTCTGTCCTGTTCCTCTGTGCATCCCGCTGCTAGCGCCCCGTGATGTTAAGTACTTAGGCACTTTGTATCTCTGCATGAATCTTCTCTCAGTCTTGCCTGGAGTAGGCTCTCTTTCTAAACTATTTGGACGTATCTTGCTGTGTGTGCAAACATACCTCTAACCTTTGACCCCACACTGACATGCTGTGACCTCTACTCCAAGTTGGTTTTGGCATTAGGAAGAAATTGTAGATAGTCTGTACACATGTCAGCACAATGTAGATGTTAGACTAGGTGATGCGCTCTTTTATAGGCTATGGTCAATTTAGATGTATCATGACATACATGCACAATGTACATACATGTACAAACATTATGTTGGTCATAAAAGTTGAGCTTTTCACATTTCCAATTATCCATTCAAAGGAAGTATTTCGATAAGGTCTTTTTTTTTAGGGTGAATAAACGCATGCTCCAGAGTCTAACAATTATCCTTAAATGTGGATCAGTAGTGACCTAACAATCTAAAACTTTATTTATAAAAGTAAGAAAGCTTACAGTGTTTTTTGACTTTCTATGTTTCGACTTTCTGCTGTCCGCCTGTCATGTCACATTTGTTTATAAATTTACTAATTACTGCAGGTTATGTCCTAAACCTATCATTTGCAACTCCCACGCACACATTTTAAAGTTAAGCATCCCTTCTTCTTTAATAACTACATGTACGTTTGAAGGTATATTTTGTATACTTCCACATGTAGAAAAGGTACATACTAGTATTGTACTATCTTGTCCAATATTTGCTTTGTTGTACCGGTAATTGTCCATTGATAAAAACCAACATGCAAATAGTGGTCTTTGTTTTCTCAAACTCCTCAAATATACACATACAAACATGATAGAGTCAGAGCATAGTCAGCATACCTAAAGATCCATGATGCTCAGCTACATGTAATTAAAAGTAAAGATGATAGTTTGTTTCAAAACAACTTCTTCAAGATTACGAACATACATGTACACATGTAGATGGGGGTAGTGATCTTCATCACAATGATGTGTGTACAGCCAGGGGTTTAGCTATTAAAGGGACCAGAGGGGTCATGTGTCCCCTAGGCAAGTGACAAAATACAGAAGAAGAAAGGAAAGTCATATGGGGAAAGAAAATATATAAAATGAAGATGCAATGCCCCAGTTCCCCCATCTCCCCCATGGATGGAAGTTATTTATCAGCTGTTTGCACTACACTGTTAAATGGGAATTCTAGTCAGCAAGTAAACTTGTTAGTCGTCTTAGGTTCACAGGGCTAAGTGATTTGAGGGCATTTCACAGTATTATGTTACACCGGTTGTCATGGATATGAGATGGTTTGTTTGAAAAGATTAGCACTCGGGAATTCGTATCACATATTGATATACACCTACAGATCTACTTCATGTACTTTTGTAACATTGAGATTAAATGTTGATATCTTGTTATTGCAATAGTTTATAGGGAGACTCTGATTTCAGTATTTTTTTTATTCATCTCCTCTCTTCCTCTCCTTCCCTCCTCTCTTCATCTCCTTCCCTCCTCTCTTCCTCTCCTTCCCTCCTCTCTTCATCTCCTTCCCTCCTCTCTTCATCTCCTTCCCTCCTCTCTTCCTCTCCTTCCCTCCTCTCTTCCTCTCCTTCCCTCCTCTCTTCATCTCCTTCCCTCCTCTCTTCATCTCCTTCCCTCCTCTCTTCATCTCCTTTCCTCCTCTCTTCATCTCCTTCCCTCCTCTCTTCATCTCCTTCCCTCCTCTCTTCCTCTCCTTCCCTCCTCTCTTCATCTCCTTCCCTCCTCTCTTCCTCTCCTTCCCTCCTCTCTTCATCTCCTTCCCTCCTCTCTTCCTCTCCTTCCCTCCTCTCTTCATCTCCTTCCCTCCTCTCTTCCTCTCCTTCCCCCCCCCCCTCTTCCTCTCCTTCCCTCCTCTCTTCATCTCCTTCCCTCTTCTCTTCCTCTCCTTCCCTCCTCTCTTCATCTCCTTCCCTCCTCTCTTCCTCTCCTTCCCTCCTCTCTTCATCTCCTTCCCTCCTCTCTTCCTCTCCTTCCCTCCTCTCTTCATCTCCTTCCCTCCTCTCTTCCTCTCCTTCCCTCCTCTCTTCATCTCCTTCCCTCCTCTCTTCCTCTCCTTCCCTCCTCTCTTCCTCTCCTTCCCTCCTCTTTTCATCTCCTTCCCTCCTCTCTTCCTCTCCTTCCCTCCTCTCTTCCTCTCCTTCCCTCCTCTCTTCATCTCCTTCCCTCCTCTCTTCCTCTCCTTCCCTCCTCTCTTCCTCTCCTTCCCTCCTCTCTTCATCTCCTTCCCTCCTCTCTTCCTCTCCTTCCCTCCTCTCTTCATCTCCTTCCCTCCTCTCTTCATCTCCTTCCCTCCTCTCTTCATCTCCTTCCCTCCTCTCTTCATCTCCTTCCCTCATCTCTTCCTCTCCTTCCCTCCTCTCTTCCTCTCCTTCCCTCCTCTCTTCCTCTCCTTCCCTCCTCTCTTCATCTCCTTCCCTCCTCTCTTCCTCTCCTTCCCTCCTCTCTTCCTCTCCTTCCCTCCTCTCTTCATCTCCTTCCCTCCTCTCTTCATCTCCTTCCCTCCTCTCTTCCTCTCCTTCCCTCCTCTCTTCATCTCCTTCCCTCCTCTCTTCATCTCCTTCCCTCCTCTCTTCCTCTCCTTCCCTCCTCTCTTCATCTCCTTCCCTCCTCTCTTCATCTCCTTCCCTCCTCTCTTCCTCTCCTTCCCTCCTCTCTTCATCTCCTTCCCTTCTCTCTTCATCTCCTTCCCTCCTCTCTTCATCTCCTTCCCTCCTCTCTTCCTCTCCTTCCCTCTTCTCTTCCTCTCCTTGTCTCTTCCTTCCATCCCTTTCACAGTATGGGAGAACAGCTCTGCACTATGCTGCACATTATGGGCAAGTCAAGACCCTCAGAGTCTGCATTTCAAGGGGATGTGAGCTTGACAAAGTGGACACAGTAAGTGGAATTACTTATCAAATTACCATCTCTTTTCACTGAAATTTATTGTCAAGAATATATCATTCTGTTAGTCGTATCTCAAAGTGTTGACAAGTTGAGAAGATTTTTAAAGATGTACTGTAAACAAAAATTAGTTTTCAAAGCAGTGTAGAAAAGTAACCTTATCAAAATGATGCAGCTAGTCTATTTAAAGGTATTTTAGCACTTGACAACTAGGGCCTACATGGAACAATAATGAGTTCAGGAAAGAAAATTAACAAATTAATTTTATGAGAAAGATGCTTTTAACATCAATTGCCTATGTAAATCTTATTTTCTCTTAGTCATATTAGGCATTTGTTTCCACATTTTTGTCATGTTTAAGAGTCCATTGTTGCTTTCATCTTCTGCATTTGTTTCTAGATTCTATTGGCATTTGCTGTAAATGCAGTTTGACTCGAAAGGAATGAATAAGAGGGGTTTTTGCTCTCAAGTACATGTTTTTAGTCCAGTCAAGTATTTGAGAATCCATGTGTAAAATTGTAAATGCCTTGTGTGCATTTCTTGTATTTTCAACATTAGGGTAAATTAAGGAAAATTGTATGAATTATCAGATAAGGATTGGTGATTTTTCACCAGAACTTGAAATCATCTTTTAGCTGAATTTATTCTTTTATTACGTACCCCAGTATGGCTGTACTGCGTTGCACAAAGCTATAGCACCAGATGGACATGTGGAGGCTGTGAGAGCGCTCATCGGTGAGGGGTGCGATGTGGACGGCCAAGATGGAGTAAGTGTATTCAAATTGGCAATCTTATAAGCAGAGTCTTTAGTCTAAGATATTTTGTCCTATTTCTGATAAATCTATCTAGGGCCCGTTGCATGAAACTTACCATCGATAGTAACTTTCCTATCAATGGTAACTACCATGGTAACAGGGCCCAACATCCAATCAAAATCAAGGTTTCCATGGTAGTTACAATTGATGGCAAAGTTACCATCAATGGTAAGTTTTGTACAACGGAACCCTGGTGTATAACCCTTCTAGAGCTTGGACCAGACAGGCATCAAGGAAACATGTCACTTTTGATGTCAGTTGTCTTTCAGATTCCTTACTTCTTGATAAAATATGGGACAGCAAATGGCAGATTAAAGAGTACCTTGGACTTGACCAATTTCGTTGGACAAATTAAGTTTTTTATATGTACCTAGTTAACAATGACAATGAATTGATACAGTATTTCTTATAACGTTAGTTATTATAACACAACAAATTTGCTTTTAGACCAATGAATTGGAATTGAACTGGAATTGAAATGGCCCCTTTTGGTGCATGGAAGAAATACAGTTGAGAAGAAACTAACTTATTTTACAGCTAAGAAACACCAAAGAAACAAACTTATATTACATCAACTAAGTTTTAACTAAGGGAAATTTTTGTACCATTAAAAAAAAAAAATGATATAATGTAGATATGCAGTAATTAACTTGGTATATGGGTTCATTGCTCCTTAGGGCAAGTCAATCATAATTCCTAAAAGCCTTTGGAACATAAACCTGCTACAGTTTGTTGTAGACGGACATATTGCTGATGGTTCATCAAGATAGGGCAGGGAGTTGTACTTTTCGGGGGTAAATTGCTCTTCCTCCAATCAATATCAATACGTGGTTCTTTTATGCAGTCAAATATTTTGATTCCTTTAAACCAACATTGCTTCATCAAATACCACAAATGTTACATTATGATAGAGATAGACATCTTTCAAAGGCTTTGACACAGACCCCCCCCCCCCTTCCAACTGGAAGTGGTTTTCTTTTCTTAATACTGTAACAGCACTCCTGTATAAATTTCTCTATTGAAATATTTTCTGATTGAGGGGATTTTCGATGAAAGGAATATGAAACCCTTGAGGGGGGCTATGAAAGTCCACTCAAATGTGATTGATTCCCCTATATAAAACAACCAAAGCTTTTGATCTGCCTTTCATGCATTGTTGGTTTTCACCCACTGTTGTCCTGGTATAGGGTGTCAGAGGTGTTGAAACAGGGCCATTGTAGGGAGCAACCGCAAATGATAGTTTGTTGATATTTCAAAAGGGGGAGGTGAGAACTCTGGGTTGGGTCGAAGGTCAGTGCTTAGTCTGGCAAGGCAGACATCTTGTACTGTAAGTTAGTGTTATAGAGTGGTGAAGTGTGACGTCATCAAAAATCTAATTTGAGAATTTCTCAATTTTTTCTTAATTTTCCGAAACAGCATAAAAAATAATTTCCAAATGTCCTATGGGAACTCAGTATTATATGCTTTGGCTCCTTATGGTTAGGAACCAGAGCACTGAGTTCCTATAGGAAATATATTTATTCAGATGGTCATATCTCAGCCAATACTTATCATATTACATTGGTTTTCGAAATTTGGACATTATTTTTTATGCTCTTTCGGAAAATGAAGACAAAATTGAGAAATTCTAAAAATACATTTTTATGACGTCACAGCTTCGGTACTCTATACATGTACAATGTCTGATCATAGACTATGTATGTGTAGCCACTAGCATGGTTGGCTAGCTACACTGAGGTAACTTGGAATTGACAATAATAGTTGATAATGAATCGTAGTTTCCTATGAACGAAAAGCCTTGAATGTTTGAATATGATAAATAAATACCTTATTCTTCTGCAAGATATGTCCCCATTGGGCCAGGTCCATGCAAAGTTAATTTAGAATCCTTTACTTCCAATGTTTATTATCGAGAAAAAAATGGTGAGCTACTGTAATAAAAAACTTTTGGGAATACATGTAGCACTTGTATAAATGACCCCTGAATATCCACGGATATTTAACACATGTATAGGAGACGACCCACTATGTGCATTTTAGAATAATCACTGCCATAGCAATGTCCTTTGGCAAGACATTGATCTACATTTGCCACACTCCACCCAGGTGAAGAACATGTAAATGGGTACCTGGAAGGAATTTATTCCTTGAAACGCAGCGTGCATAACAGCTGCACTGCTAAAGCTAGGGTAACTATGCTGCATTATTTGTAGAGCGCTTAGAGACTTCTGATAAAGTAAGTGTTAGGCGCTATATAAGCACTAAAATTATTACAGCAATGTACATTTATGCATCAATGGTACATTCCATGGTACATAGATGAAATTAAGAACCGGTACTCTTTTCAAAGGAGAGGAAATGGTAGCTATTCTTGAAGCTGTTACTCGTTTCAGACCTCAAATACCTTTAAAGTGCATGGGTATTGCTCTTATTCTTATTTATGACATTTCTAGTGCTCTTTTAGGACCTAAAATTGCTATGAAGGTAATTTTAGACCCCAAAATGTGTGAAATTTAGCCAACACGATCATACATGTACCAATTCAGCTCCACTCTCAAAAAAATATATGGTTACCGTTGATTCATTAATTAATTAATAATAACAATACACGGGCCGACTGATTGTACGTATCATAACCAACATCCGCATTGGCTGGAATAAAACGTATAAGGCGATATCTTGTTTTTTCAACGACCGGTTCAAATTATCGAATATTTGTGGGGCACCACAAATATTAGAGATCGTTATATTTATGGATATTTCAGCCGTCTCTGAACCAATTTTGTTCAAACAAAGATGATTTTAATAGTTTAAACATATTTGTGGCTTACACCCAGTAAATAAGATCAATCGATCAATCGATCGATCTGTAATTGAAAAACAAGTCAGAAAAAATCTTGGAACCAGCGGGGTTTGAACCTGCCATCTACTGCTTGCCGGGCAGCGACTTAACAAAGATTGGTGCTTTAATAAATTATGAAAATGGTCTATTAGACATGTTCATTATGAATATGACAGACAAAGAAAGAGGACAAAAAATACAGTTCCTCATTCTACCCTCAACAATTGCTGTGGTAAACAAAGGAACATCCCTTCACTGCTATTACCGGTATGTAAAAATGTGTTGAACAGGTGTCATATGCATATTCACCTGTTCTACACATTTTTACATAATAGCAGTGAAGGGATGTTATTTTGTCTACCACAGCAATTGTTGAGGGTAGAGTGAGGAACTGTATATTTTGTCTTCTTTCTTTGTCCGTCATGTTCATAGTGCTGACACCATAAAACAGAAAGACATGTCTAACTATCTTGTTTGAATTGTTTCTCCACAGAATGGTAACACGTGTGTGCATGAAGGTGCTATGAAGGGCTTCAGTCAGTCTATGGATGTGCTTATCAAGATAGGAAAGGCCAACATTAACACCAGCAACAAGGTAATATACAACGCACCTCAACGTTTGAATAATAATAATAATAATAATAATCTGTTAAAGTCCACTCCAAATTTTATTAAGTTAAAACGAAAATGGAAATTCTTTTTGCCCAATTAATCGTGAGCCCGGCAGCTAATTTTTTTCCCCCAAATTGTAAACCTGTTTGGGAATAAAAATTTCGCAGCCCGGCAGCCACTGAGCAGCGCCAGATCGACGTTGCTCTATCCCTTATTGTTGAACGCCAAACAAGGTAGCAGCAACTCCCGCGGCCGGGGTTTGAACCCACGACCTCCCGGTTGTGAGGCGGACGCTCTACTGACTGAGCCAACACACCGGTATGCTGAGAGGCAGAAAGGCATTACCTCAACAGCGTTCTGGCTCTCAAAATATGATGTATACATGTATTTAACATGTTCGTGAAGAGGTAGCCTTACAGGGGAAGTCCACCCTGATATTAATTTGGATTTGATAGAAGCAGAAAAATGAGAGCAACAGGTCTGTTATTGATGACAGAAGCGATAGTTTCCATACAGGGGTTGCATAGAAATATGTATGCAATAATTATATCAAACTGCATGTATGATCAAAAACTTTCTTGAGGGAAACTAAACATTTCTTTAATTTTTTTTAGTACAGAGCAAATGGGAGGTGAGCTTGCAAAACACGTCATGGAGTTGCCAATTTGTATTTGATTGATCGCAACTTCAAACATCCATAACTTTCTTGTTTTTTATCAGAATTTGCTCAAAATTTCACTGACCTGTTCCTCATTTTTCTGATTTTGTTATTACCAACATCAAGATGGACTTCACCTTTTAAGTGTGAGGTGATAATATGAAATACGATATTGATATCACCCAGTCTGAATTGGCATCCATTTGCCTGCATGAAGAGTGCTGTAAACCTCAAATGCTTTTGTAATCACCCATTCCCGCACTTGACGAAGCAAGAATTTAACCAAAAATAGGAAATTTGTTACCGGAGTGATAGAGCTGTGCTCGCCTTCCACCTGTTCTTGATGATGATTAGCTAACATGCGATTTTCATTACAAAAACACTGACCTCTGACAAAAGTTGTGGTGTTGGTTCTGCCGCAAATGCAAATACATGCAGTGTAAGCAAATATTCATTTCTATTCTATTACTTTTATGTTTATTGGATTTGGTAGAGTTGGATTTTAAAAATATTTTTTTGAAAACAATACTATAACATGGAGGCAGCTATTGTGCTGATATTTTCTTCTTCTGGTTCCCTTTAGTAAAAAAAGTAAAGAGGTTGTGATTGGCTGCCGGAAAGGAGACGTAAAGCCAGCCGTTTATTGACAACAAGCTGTAGCAATGCTAGCTAGAGGAACACGAGAGTCCTCACAAACTCTTTCTCTCAGCCCAGTATCTGACTATTGCAATAAGTTAATAGCCTTACAATGAATCAAAGTGATTTATAAGATGATGACATGGATCCTAATCAAATGATTGGTTGAAACCGTACACGTGACTAGGCATTTATTTGCCTAATGCGTAATTTGGATAATGACCGGTCATTATCCAATTCTAATGACCGGTCATTAGTAAAATCATGTTATATAACAAATAAAACATAATCTTATAAAACAAATAATACACCACATTTTGTTTGGGCATTAGTAAAATTACTCACACTGGGTACCTTCAAAACGGCCCAAACATCCTCAGCTACCGCCTCGGTCGTGTGTTACTGCTCCAAAGGTACCTTGTGTGGGTAATTCTTACTAATGTCCTCACTGCTGTGTATTATTTGTATAATACTCCCTAATAGTACTTGGTAATGCATGGGACACCATATATATACATGCTTGTCTGTCCTAACATGTTGCACTGATTGGTTAGTGATACGGGTACATCATTATTGGAGTGTGTTTCATTATCTTTTGTTTTATTTGTAGAATGGTGAGAGGGCTATCCATCTTGCATGCCAGCATGGTCACAATCAGAGCACTAGAATACTGCTAAAAGCTGGCTCTCATCCAGATGTCAAAAACAGTGTAAGTTCAGTGAACACAGTGTTGAGTTCTGGGCCCTGTCTCATAAAGAGTTGATATTCATCACAACTTATTTGTGATTGATATCGATCGCAACTATGCACATAAGATATGGGAGACTGCAAACCTGCGATTGATTGGAGGAATTGTGATTAATCAATCACAAGTCCTCCAATCAAGAGTTACGATTCTGATCCATCGTAAATCTTTATAAGACGGAGCCCAGGTTTAGGGTATATGAGATAACTTGTGAGCTTTTGCGCTCTTTGTATGTTAGTACGGAAGTATAGTGTAGAAGATATGCCTCCTGAAACAGATTGTACTTCAAATGTTCTCATGTTCGAAATATGACGAAAACTAGCTGAAAAGCTTGGACCAAATTTGTATGCAACTTGTGGATGTAGTCCCACATACACATTTCTGTGTGCAGTAAAATTGATTTTCAGCAAGATGGAAGTTAATTTCTTATCATTTTAATGATACCCAAACTTCACAGTGTGCAACAATAAGCCAGTTCGTAAATAGCTTTGGAACGCATGACCCCAAAATATCCACAGATCTCTTACATGATTGATACTGTACGTCCCACTTGTGCAATTCAGAATAATCACTGCCAAAGAAATGGAGGTGCTTTATGAATAACTTTTGTTTGCCTCTTGAGAAGAATACTGCTACCTGTGTATTAGATAAATGTACTGTCGGTGCATAAATGAATACTGATTATATAACTTTCATGAGCAAGATACCAGTAATCGTCTCAATGGTTTTACAATTTGGGAAGGAATGACCTTTATCTGCCCATGCGCAAATCCTAATAACGAACTCGCTTATTCTTATGTCCTGCATAGTCAGCCTTACCTTTTGCTTCCAGATGGTTCCTTTGATTGTAAAATTGCTCGGCTAAAAGTCAACTATTGGATTTTAAATTAGGTGACAGTTAGCTGTAGTGTTTAGTCCAGGACTGAATTTAGGAATTTGAGTAGTGAAGGATATTGACCATGGAGCAATTAAAGCATGTGTCCGGGAACATTGAAAAGGCATTGTCTTGTGTCTGCCACTCTTTATCCAGGAGTAGCATAAGATAAACTTTAATTTTATACCCATGGAAGTATACTCTTCATGGAGCGGAGATGGTGTACAAATACATTTCGGGCATAGAATTTAATGACATAATTGTAAGTTTAATGATACATCCATGTATCCTACACGTATGTACATTTTTATGAAACGTGCCAGTAGCATTGCACTTATGGACACAAAGGTCCTCACTAATAGATTAAAACAGAAATAACAAGGTGTATTTGGACTTGACTAAATATTCCCTTGATAAAAATGCACAACAGTTTAATACATTTTTTTTTTTTTCATATTTTTCCCTCCACAGGGATTTTATTGATTTTCATTTGAAACAAATACAAAAATATATATTCAAGGTAATTTACATAATAACATACATAAAATAAAATTGGCTTTTCAAGATACAAGTATTGTTGAGCTGTTGAGTTAACAGAAAACTAACAAATCAAAATTCATTTCTAACACTCATGGAAAGAAAAACAAATACAGAAAAAATATCATTTTAAGTAAACAAATTCCTGAATTGAAACCATTTTTTTGTGAATTTATTATTTCTACAATTTGAATTTGCAATATACTTTTCGTTTTTGAAGTAATTTATAATCGAAACTCTAATACTATCAAAGTCGGGCAATTGTTTCTTTATTTTGCAAGTATACACCATCTGTCGCACCACAATCAGTATACAATTCAATGCATAATTATTTGAACCTTTTAAACCAAATAATTTATCTTGTAATGAAAATGTTAATTTATTTCCGGTTCCAGTATTAATCCAGTGTTCTAACCTACCCCAAATATTTTTAACATTTATTGATTTTCATTTGAAACAAATACAAAAATATATATTCAAGGTAATTTACATAATAACATACATAAAATAAAATTGGCTTTTCAAGATACAAGTATTGTTGAGCTGTTGAGTTAACAGAAAACTAACAAATCAATAATTCATTTCTAACACTCATGGAAAGAAAAACAAATACAGAAAAAATATCATTTTAAGTAAACAAATTCCTGAATTGAAACCATTTTTTTGTGAATTTATTATTTCTACAATTTGAATTTGCAATATACTTTTCGTTTTTGAAGTAATTTATAATCGAAACTCTAATACTATCAAAGTCGGGCAATTGTTTCTTTATTTTGCAAGTATACACCATCTGTCGCACCACAATCAGTATACAATTCAATGCATAATTATTTGAACCTTTTAAACCAAATAATTTATCTTGTAATGAAAATGTTAATTTATTTCCGGTTCCAGTATTAATCCAGTGTTCTAACCTACCCCAAATATTTTTAACATGCGTACAATCACATAGCAGATGTATAACTGTTTCAATCTGTTCATTACAAAATGTACATTCTTTTCTTGGGACTAAATTCATTTTAAACAGTAGATCGTTCGTATATAATATGCGTTGCAAGACTTTAAACTGAAACCATCGTAAGCCCACATCAATGGTACAATTAAATCCAATAGAACAATATGTTTCCCAACTCTTATCATTCAGGTCGAAAATGCATTTCCATTTAAGAAAACTTTTACATAGTCCTTTTCTTCTCTTTAATAATATTGCATAGATATGTGAACATCCTTTAATACGTTTCATAACAAATGCCATTGTATCTGGGAAAAGAGGTTGTGGCACATTGTTAAAAATAGTACAATTGTTAAACCCTTGTCTAATTGCATCGCATAATCCACGATAAAAAAGAAAATTTATTTGAATATTATACTTTTCTTGAAATTGTTCCAGAGAGAAAAAATCACCATTTGTGTCTAAAATATCGTTAACAAAACGAACTCCCTTTTGACACAATTTTTTATTATATATTGAGCTATTGCCTATTTTAATGTAATCATTATTCCATAAGGGTTGGCAAGAAATGTTATCATGATGCATAGACAAGAGCGTACTATAAGCCATGAACATTTCTTTCCAAAAAAGGTTCTTTGTTTTACCTGCCAGTTCCCGAAAATAATTGTTTCCCATATATAATTTTAAATCTTGCCGTTCAGGTAAGAAAGATTGCAAAAGACAGAGGATATTGCTATCTATTGAGCCAATTACTAATCTCTTAATCCAGGAAATTTTTAATGATTGGCAATGTGTGTATATATCTATCATTTTAACCCCTCCGTCTGAGTAACTTTGTGACATTTGATTTCTACTTATTTTATCAGGTTTCTCCCCCCATATAAATCTATAAAAGTGAGCATTTATATCTTTCAAAAGATTTTCACCAGGATTAGGGAGGGACAAAAAAAGGTAGTTTAATTTGGATACCAACAATGACTTGACGACAGTGATTCTTCCAAGAACAGTTAAGTATCGTCTCAACCACGATGTCATTTGACTTTTTATTTCTTTAAATTTTTCATTATAATTGTGAATTATCAATTTGGGTAAATCCGTACAAAAGTCTATACCTAAATATCTGAAATAATCATCAAACACCCAATTTAGATTTCTATTCAAAAGAACACCATTTTTCTTGTTTTTAAATCCTCCAATCCAAATCGCATGTGTCTTCTGTATATTAACTTTTAAACCAGACATTGCATTGTATTGATCTAAAATGTTTAATGCACTGTTTAATTCCATTACTGACCCATTCAATGTTAGAAGAGTATCGTCTGCATATTGAATTATTTTAAGTTGTCTACCAGGTAAGCTCAAACCAACAATGGAATCGGAATTTCTAAACAAGAGACCTAGTATTTCGGCGCATAACAGAAAGATAAGAGCTGACATGGGATCTCCTTGACGACAACCTCGCTCTATTGAAAATCTTGGAGACAGGTGTCCATTGATTAATACACAGGATTGAGCATTTTCATAGAATACATTAACCCATTTTACAATAGAGGGACCAAACTTAAAAAAGTGCAATACTTTTCTAATAAAATCATGAGAAATAGAATCAAATGCTTTTTCAAAATCTATAAGCAGCAATAAACCAGGAATGTCATTGATATCAGTATACAATAATAAATCATATAACAAACGGATATTCTCTCCAATGAAGCGCCCTGACATAAAGCCTTTCTGGTTTTCATGTATAAGAAAAGGAAGTACGTTCTTTAATCTGTTTGCTATACAAGAGGAACCTAATTTATACACCACGTTCAATAAAGATATGGGTCTCCAATTTTTCAAATAATGTCTATCTTTTTTTCCTTTGGGAATTAAAGTGATGACTCCTAACTTCTGTGTATAGGACATTCCGGATGAATATGCAAAGTTCAAATATCTCACTAAAAATATGTGTAATTCTTTCCAAAAATGTTTGAAAAATTCGACGGTGTATCCATCTAGACCAGGTGATTTATTATTTTTCATATTTATAAGTGCTTGATGAACTTCATCGATGGAGAGTTCTCCTTCGAGCTTCTGTGACATTGAAGCGGTTAATTTACTTATATCTGGATCATTTAATATTGTATTTAAGTCTACATCAACAACAGGATTATTTTTATACAATTTAGAGTAGAATAATACAACTTCTGATATAATATCATCATGCGATGTTATCTCCTTGTTTTCAGTAGTGACCAATTTGCATATACGTTTATTCACAGCATTTCTTTTTTCTAAATTCAAAAAATATTTTGATGGTTTCTCGCCATATTCCATCCATTTAATTTTAGACCTCATCTTTATTCCTTCCATTTTTTCTTTTCTTAGTGATTCTAACTGAACTTTCTTTTCATTTAATATGACTAAAGCTCTATTTTTGTCCGTTTTTGATATCAATGCCTTCTCCAAAGCTATAATTTCTTTCTCTAAATCATATTCTAAATTTACCAATCTTTTTTTCTTTCTGGCTGAGTATAAAATTGTTTCACCTCTAATTATGGTCAACAACGTACAAAAAATAACTGATCATTTACAGTAAATTCATATTGTGTATCTTGTCCTTCTACCTCAATTCTATTTGCATTGTTATTATATGGGACAGAATAGGTCTCAATCGTTTGTTGAATGACATCTTTAATTTTTTCCACATAACTATCATCCCTTAACGACGAATTATTGAATTTCCAGTAACCTCGACCTACCATACAATGATTTAAATTCAAAGATAGCTTGACCAGGGAATGATCGGATCTGTATCCAGGTAAAATTTCTATTTTATTAACGAGTGACAGTAGTTCAGTGGAGACCAAAAAATAATCCAATCTAGCCGCCTTAAACGGAGTAGGTTGCCGCCATGTAAACATTTTTTCCAGGACATGTAATTCTCTCCACGGGTCTATCAAATCTAAATCATTCTTCATTTGATCGACTTTTTTCTTGGCATTAGGATTATTAAGGCGAATATAATTATATGTATCTTTATCAAAATCTTGAACCAAGTTCCAATCTCCGCATAAAATTGTTAATGGATTATCAAAATCCAAAGCAAGTCTTTCAATATCTGCATAAAAACTAACACTATCGTGATTAGGACCATACAAGGATATTAATGTTATGTCATAGCTATATATCTGTAGGTCTAACGCAACAAAATTCCCTTCTTTTGATCGCTCAATCTTATTTACATTAAATTGCACCCCTTCCCTAAACAAAATAGCAACACCTCTGGCATTTGACGCTTTATGGCTGAAAAAACAATTATCTCCCCAAAATCGTTTTATAGAAGCTTCCTCCTCAGCTACAAAATGTGTATCTTGCAAGCAACATATTTGGAACTTTTTTAACTTAACAAATTCTAAAACATCATTTCTTTTTTCGCTATTTCCCAAACCTCGACAGTTCAAAGAAATTATATTGAAACTAGCCATTGAATATTAACTTAACCTCGGTACTATGAAAATCAAATCCTGTGGAGTTTTTCTTTTGTAACATCAAACAAATAACACTGACAGCACTAAGCACTAGTCCACCGAAACAGCTTACATTGCAACACCTATGACAATTACAGCGATGTCTAGCACAAACGAAACTACAAAACAAAAACACATATGTCTCTGATAGCGAGACAAGACGCAATACCAAAAAAGCCACAGGTGACCACATATTTGCTGTGGATCCCCGAAACCCCACCAATCCAACTAAGAGGGAAAATATATCAAACGTTTCTCCCTTGAAAAAAAGGCACACCGGCTTAAATCACACACAATCCTGCTTATTGTATGATAACTTTTGTCATGTCCGGGAAATGTATACACTTAATTATTTTACATATTTACAAATGTGCGACCTCCTATGATTCACACGGGTAACCTAAACACAAACTCCCCTTTCACAGAAGAGGTCAAATATAATAAAAAGATCGATAGCTTGACCGTAGTACTTTTGCGGAAACGACTAGCCCTTGATCATAGTCTTCATTCGTATCATACATGTATATACATTGCTATATGATATTCCTTTAACCTGGCTTTGGATAACAAGATATAAAAACAAAGATTATTAAAATTTTAACCTCCATATTCGGATTTATAATGATTATCAACGTATTTAAAATTATACAGTGGAACTGCTTCTGAGAATTAAAGAAGAAGAAAACTGTATGATCTCTTGCCTTTCATATTAAGTCTCACATCAATATTCTGATATCTTCAAAAAAAGAATTAATCTGTGTAGAACACGTTGCTTTCATATGATTAAAACTATTGGTTAAATAACGTCTTCTCTTTAAAAGAGACAGCAATTTTTTATTTTAATAGGAACCAATTTCTCTTCGTACCTTTTTCCGGAGGTACAAGAGAACAAAACATTCAGCTTCGTTCAAGAAGATTTGTCATTTTTTTTATATGCATCCATAATAACAAGGAAAAAGATCATTAAAAATGCTCTTATATCTTTTCTTATTACAGTACATGTAAATCTTTAGCAGATTATGTAATAGACATACACTAGTACTCAACATCAGTTTTTAGGCATCCAGCCAATAGCAACACCAATAAGTACTAAACACATAAGTTGTATATTATATATATATTATATATATATATAACACGAGCAAACGATGGGTACTCTTTTATGATCTTGAACTATGTCACAGAGGTTGCTGATTGTTTTACTTTAATATTGTTTTACAGTTTAATACATGATTGATTTTTCGTATACCGTATTTGCTGGCGTAAAGGCCGCAGTATTTTTGGAAGAGAAAATATCAAAAAGTCTGGGTGCGGCCTATGCGCAACAACATTAAAAAATCGGTGGTCAAAACAGCACGTATTCGTACATATGGGACTACAATGACTATACCAGTTAATGTACAAAAACTACAAAGGTACAGGACATTTTTAGAATAACTCCACACATCTTACCGACCATTTCGTGTTATATTGTTGACATGAAGTTTTGTCAATCTCATGAATAAACTTCATAACTTATTTTTCAAACAAAAACTACCAGTAGATCTAGATCTAAGTTCATGCCATCGCTGAAGCAACCTCAGTCCTAGCCAGCCCATGCGCGCCCAGCTATGGCGCAATACACGACTGTTCAACTGCGGCAGGAGAGGGCAGTATGGGGGGGGGGGGGGGTGCGGCCTTAACGCCGGCAAATATGGTACTATGTAAGTACATGTAAATGAATAGATGAATAAAGTTGTACCTTCCTTCTGCATTCTCTTATCTTTTTTCACCCTTTCATATGTTTTGTTGTTTTGATACAGTCTGGAGAAACACCACTTCATATTGCATGCCTCTATGGCCAGATTACATGTGCAAGGATTCTCATTAGTGCAGAGTGTGATATCAACATGAAAAATAAGGTATGGGACTACATGATTTGAAATATTGAGTGTGGGGGGGGGGGGTTACAGACTTTATGTCTAGGAGCACCGGCTCAAGCTCAATATTCTTAATGTTTATCAAGAGCTCAGGGCCCGTATTCAATTCGATGCTTCATCTTTGTCAGTATTTTACTTAGCGTTTAGCTTAGATACTGTAAGTAAAATGGCTCAAGGCTTAGTCAGATCACATCTAAGTATTAATTTTTAGAAAGCAACCTGTTAGAATACCTCTCCTGATGGCCATTGTGACATCGCATAGTCAATCCAAAATTATCCGCAATAAATGCGGTGCATTACGGGTATATGCGTGCTTACGTAATTGGGCACAACTTATAATGACTGTATGAAAACCACATGCCTGCCAATCAAGGCCTCCAAATATTTTGGGCTTGATCCCTGCTAAAGCTGTCTTAAACTACGAGTATTATACTTTGCCACAATCTTCAACTGAATATGGAAGTTGGCAAAGTAATTTTTCTAAGCCGAAAATTGGTTAAAATATACACATTTGTGCTATGATAAGTGTTGAATTGAATAGCAGCCTTGGTACTCACTCGTGTATTTGACTTTGGATGATGTCTGTTGAGAGCCAGAAGGGAAAGGTAATGTAAAGTTTTGGGTAATTTTGAAAAATGGATGGATAGTAATTCTATGAAATTTTGGTATATTTGGATGCCCATGTGGATGTTTTATTGGCACTAGAAAAAATTAGCCCCTAAAACACTTCTGCTTTCGAGAAATTGAATAATAAAAAAAATTTACTGATGCCCCTGGTAAATTTCAAATATTTTGAATCGCGCCTAAGGCCATTCCATGGTAGCTGTTTCCATAAAAATCTCAGAATATGCAGTTCTGATATATAATTTATAAACGGGAATAGCAAATTGGTCGATTGTACTGTACTTGTAGTCAAGAAACATTGTTTTATAGCTAAAGTAATATCAATCTTGAGAGGGAGATATACAACATAACAAGTTTATTATTGTCAATGTCATTACGTTGTCAACCGCGACAACGATCATTAAATATTGTAAAATCGCATATGCTTCCAATATGTTTATTTGAACAAAATTCATGACCCCATACCAAAACTTTGTATTACCTTTAAGGTATATGAGTTGATGCCCTTCTGTCTCCGAACAATAGCCTAGCCTGAGTTCTCCCAGGCTTAATGATAATGATTATGATGATGATGGCAACGATGACGACAACGATAATGATAACAACAACATTTATATGCCGCATAAACATCAAATGGGGTGCTCAAGGCACTCAAAACCAAACTGCTATTATGCAGGGGTCACAAATTTGTACTAATATCCCTATTTTCCCATTGTCTTACCAAATTTTCATTGTCTGAAAATTGTTTGTACGGCGTTCGTATCAGTTCGTAATGGCATTTGTGACCGAGGCTTTACCTAGGCTTTGAGCGCATCTGCTTATGTTATTAAAATGGAAGTTCCAAAGAATGACTTGATTGCCTTTGGTTTCCCATACGCTCAGGAGGGTAACACACCTCTGCACATCGCAGCTGGACTTGGCAAACTCAAGATTGCAAGGCTTCTCTTAGAGTCACAGTGTGAGGTCAAGATACGCAACAAGGTAAGATCAACTTACACCTATTACGGATGGACATTCATCGTTTTCTTAACAAATTCATTGTGATTGTCTCCGTCAGTGTCGTCTCAATAACATTCCGTACATGTTTCTTCACTTTAATCTCATGATGGTCACCGCCAAGAAGCCGGGACAGAATCAAGATAGTGATTTTACACATGTTAATCTACATGCGCAGAAGATAATAACTCGCTTAAATCATGGGAAATCGATGTGCAGTTCTGGTTTATAATCGGAAATTGTTGTTCCGTGTACTGTATTTTATTTTGAAAAACATGTAGATATTACCAGATAGAGGTTATATTTGGATTGGTTGTGATTTAAAATCCTGTTTCCCTCAATTTCTTCATAATATTCTACAGTTACAACACACAGGGCTTGTACAGATCATGGCCTGCTAATTGTTTTATAAGGTCATGGGTGTGTGCGAATGTGTGCAAATCAGTAATAATACATTTCATATCACCAAAATCGTCTGCTGTTTAACTTTGCTGCTCCCCATTGGGGATGTTTTTATTTAAGACACACTCTTACAGACCACACCATCCAAACAAAACCCAAGAGAGGAAAACTGCTCCTTTGTCAATGACCGAAAATGATTACGCAGTCGTTATTGTTAAAACAGCTTAATGGTTTCATTAAGATGCACATAATCAGAAGGCGGCGACTACATTGGATCAAAGAAAGAATCATGTTGAATGTCCATCCGTAATAGGTTCTTGGATCAACTTGCACTATTACCTCTAAAGTTGGAATATTTGTTCTTGCCTCTTTTCATGAAATGATTTAGTCAATATGGTTTATCCAATCCAATCCAAAAGATATTTGAAATAGCGCCTTTTCCTTGCAGTTACAAAGCGCTGCACACACCGCTCCACAATTGGGCCGCTTATAAACAAAAGTTCTGAGAGATCAGTCAAGTATATGTAGACTGGTAATAAAATACTTTCTAGCAGAATAGATGTGACCTCAGTAATTTCTTGGAAGTGGTCAACAGATGAGGCCATCTGCGCAACAGTAGGTACATGTAGCTGGTTCCACAGTTATGCATCAACCAATGGGAAAGACAATTTACCAGAAAGAATTCAAATCTTCTCTCAACTTTTTTGATCAATTTATATGAATCTTTAGATTGCTCAATGTTCTGAGGAGATATAAACTCTATCTATTTAGAAGAAATCTTATTCTCACAATCGCTTCATTAAAAGAGGTGAACAAAAAGTATTCAATTTTTTTAGGGCAACAGTGTATCAAGGAAATTTGTCTTATATCAAAATGAGGATTTTATGGTGATAAGTGGGTTTATTAAAAGCAACAAGACAATGGTAGCAGGATGCAGCAGGTCAAATATGACTACGGTAGCCAACTGCTCCCGTCACATTGTGAGATCAAAATATGCAAAAATGTTAGAACAGCTTAGCAAGGAAAGTTTTCTTATACAAAAATTAGGATTTTATGTTCAATGGGTTTATTAAAGTGACTTGGTATTAAACATTGCCTCATATGCTGAAAAAAAATCCTGTATTTAGCTCATGCTGCAATGATAATTATAAACCTTTAGGTCAGTCAGAATCCCATGACATTTACAAGCCGATCGCCTGTCTGATTTTCAAGATATTTATGATTGGAAATCAAATTTCATTTTTAGTTTTCCGAACGGTTATAATACTACAGTCTATTGGGGAAAATGAGTATGATAAAACTGGTCACTCAAAGATTTTTACTTTTTGGAGGCACTTCATGATCATTTTGAAGCGCAATTTTGTTAGGGCTTCAATATTACACCATATCACAGACACTGATAAAAGGTAGGGCCATGCATCTCAGATTAATTTTTTTTAAAGATGCCTTAAAAGCAACAAGACAGAGGTAGTAGGCAAGCCTACTTCTGGAGTCACATTGGGGGATCAAGGTGTAATAATATTGTTTTTGTTAATTTCTTTGCTGTCCGCAGAGCAATCAGACCCCTCTAGATGTAGCCCGACAGACCGACCAGCGCGATGCAGCACTTCTCATCATTGGAGCACATAGGGTAAGCTCAATCTACATCTATTTCATTCCAAGTTCTTGACATAATGTTTGCAGAAACCTCCCCATTTGCTTCATGTTATTATGCATACTGTCAATGGATGATAAAACCTTGTAACTCAATGTCTGGCAATTTAGTTGTTCTGATAAGCTCGTGAAATGCATATCTCCAAAAAGTAACGCCACAGGCGACTTTTACACATAAGGAAGATTTTCAATGCCCTTGAAGCACGGAAGGTTTTTTACTCTCCTTAAAATTGAATATGTTTTAGTTACAACACTTTATTACCACACCGACCATACACGTTATAAACTCGCTTTAAGCATGGATTTTAAATACTAGCACTGGCTATGCAACTCCCCAACCCCTAGCCCCAAAGGAAATGGTGATATATTATAGGCTGACAGATAAACAGACACAAGAAGAAAACAAGTTGACCCGTATGCAAGAAGGTCACCCTGCCCTGCTCGTAAACACAGCGATAAGGCCACCCTTTGAAGTCAGGTCAGTGGAGTCGTTATGGTTGACACTTTGTGGTGTGGGCTGATTGCTCTTATGTCAAATTACTTCTTTACTTTTTGAACAGCTTGTTGTCAATATAGGATATTTTGTATGACAACTTTGACATGACTATCAAACTGAGAAAATGAAAATTAGGGTAATATAGTGCAGAAGACAAATGTAATCATTAGTGTAAACTTTGGGCGCTTACAACTTCCAACTGGATATAACTCTGACCTTTAATTATAAACCATGTGAGCATGATATGAAATTTTGGAAGCTCTGTTCCTTCATTTTTTCTTTCAATTCTTCTACCCTTTGTAAAAGATGATAACAAGACCTACACTTATACCGGTGAGTTGGCTCAGTCAGTAGAGCGTCCGCCTCACAACTGGGAGGTCGTGGGTTCGAACCCCGGCCGCGTCATACCAAAAGACGTTAAAAGACGGGAGTTGCTGCTACCTTGTTTGGCGTTCAACAATAAGGGGATAGAGCAACGTCGACCTGGCGATGATGCTCAGTGGCTGCCGGGCTCACAATCAATTGGGCAAAAAGAATTTCCATTTTTAGTTTAACTTAATAAAATTTGGAGTGGACTTTAAAAGATTATAATTATTATAATTATTATAACACACAAAGCATCATCAATATTGCTGATTGAATATTTTGTTTATATTTTTATTGCCAATTTGCAGATGAAGAAAGGGAAGCTCTCGTTTTTCTCTCGGAACAAGAAGAAGGATAGTAGCAAGCTGGATGGCTTTGGAAATTCATCTCATCATCACCAAAGTGACAGTTCACCTAATGATAAACATAAACGCAAGCACACCGATGATAGGGTATGTTTAAAATGTAATAATAGACACTGATTAGTTATGTAACCTGTTATGATGCATCCAATAAAAGCGTTGACTGTATCATTATCCGGGCCAGAATTTCACGCAACTTTAATATCACTACAAGTTCATTGACATCCCATTGAAATCTGTGTATTGTTATTAAAGGTAAAGACCAGTTATGGTCATGCGATTGCATTGTGAAAGAAACGTTGTAGAATCAATCAGAAAAGGTTGATCATCTAGCATATAAGTGTTGGTGTGTACTGCAAGGTTCTGGAATCATCAAAATGATAAGAAATTTGGCCCAGTCTTGGTAAAGTTACAAGCTCTGTACACAAAAAGATGTACAAGTATATGGGACTATGCGACACATGCGCGACATGTGCGCGATATCTATCAGGTCCAAATAGATTTTGTATGATCACGTATTCGTGAAAACATATTCTTTCTCCACATGATTGGTAATAAGAGCTGCCATTTCATTTTTTGAGACAGGGGCATTTCCAAAACTGGTCTTTACTTTTAACAGGTGTTTCAATCTGATGTCAACAAACTTGTATTTACAGGACGGTTTCGTGAAATGATGCTCTGCGCTCTAAGATTTCCTTATGTTAACAGAATTTTGGGACTAAGAGTCGCGGTTTAACTGATTTACCAGCATTTCCAATGTACTTTTCTTTGTGTGTATGACATTATATTATAATTTTACTCATGGATATTTAATGTAATATGCACTTTATACAAAATGTATATCTTATATATGTCAATGGTCTTACTACATGAAGTTGTGCAGGTCAGCAATATTAATATTAATTCATTTCTCTCTCTCTCTCTCTCTCTCTCTGATTTGTCAGAGAGGTGATGATGATATGGATGGGGGCCAGGGTGGGGCTAGGATCCGAGGACGGAGAGAGATGGAAGCTGGGGACAGACATTCTTCAGGAAGCAGTAAAGGAAAGTCAAAGAAGAAGAGAGACAAGGTAAATATCGAAAATCAACATCTTATTCCCTAACAGTCTATTGTCATCTTTTAGTGACATTATAGCTTTATCTCTTGATCCAGAATGCTCTGCATTACAAATTCTACATGAGCAGAAAGCGCACAAAATCACTGAAAGGTAGTGTAGTGGCAAATACTGGTTAACGTCTTTTTTGGACAACTGCATGTAGACGAATGGACTTGATGATATATATACATAATATTTGTTTTTATTTTGTTGGTATAACTATGAAAGAGTGGAAAATACAAATAATTGGTGTCAATTTGAAGAGGTAAATCTGATTCCTTTAAAACTTTAGAAAACTCTGAACTGCTCTGAGTTAAGCCACCGTGACACATGGACACAAATTGTTTATGCCGTGGCATGCAATTGGGTATGCCATGGAACAGTGAGGGAAGGCAAGTGCTATGGTGCATGATAGATGAAAAACTGTGCACTAGTTATTTTTAGATCAGAGCAAAAATTAGGAAGTTACAAGCTTTTGAATTTGTAATCGATCATACGCAAATTGACAACTTTGTGTGACGTGTCTTGAAAGGTCCCCAGCCATTTGATCTTTACTTGAACATTTATAATTTCTCTAATTATGCATGCCCCTAAAATTAATCACTGCAAATAATACACAACCCCTGTATGAACAAATAATATTCCTTTCTCGGCAACTAAGAAAATAGAAATTTTAAGAAACATTTCTGTTCAGAGTTAATGAGAGAGGACCTTGTATCATCATTATTACCATTTTTGTCTCCGTTACCATCATCATCATTGTCGTTATTATTATTATTGTAATCATCATCATCACTTTATTATTATTATTATTCTAATCATCATCATCATCATCATAATTTTTATTATCCGTTATTGTTATTATTAGAAGTAGTAGTCGCAAAAATGTCTTTGATATTTTTCTTCTAATGGTTGTTCAGAGTCAAGGACAGAACCTCTTTGTGAGAGAGGAGATGAAGAAACATTTGAAGTCGGAGAAGAAACTCCAGGAACAAATCCATCTTGGTCGGGAGTTGGGGAATTGCCAACACACAGAGCAGGGGAACCCCCATTTCAGGACTCAACTCTTCAAAGACAAGACTGGAAAGGTACTTCATGTAAGCAAGAAATGTTTGATTACTTCAGTAGCACAATCCTTATGAAGTTTAATATACCTCATACATAGATTGTCATTCACGATTGGTCAAAACTATATCACATGACAAGGAGCATTTCGATCTATCATTGCGTCAGAGGGTTTGATAGCTACTATTGAACCCTGTAATAGAACTCCTAACCCCTCCGCGACTTTTGCACATACACAGCGTACAAGATTTCAAATGCGCGCTCAATCCATGCAACTTACACTGGGCCATAGTAGCTGCATTACCTTACTGCAGTACCTGTAAACATGTACAGTATAGATTGGATTTCCATATGTTGGATTTCTTTTAGCGTTGTATATTTGAAACATCCTCATGAGCAGTCAATATTTGTATATTATTTGTGACAGTTTATGAATGAATGACCCATATGTTATTACAATGAATGTACCAATCATTAAAGCATGTTTTGCTCTTGATGTAATGGGTTCCATGTGAATGTAATGTATTCAAAATAGAAGCTGCACATATTACTTCTACAAAGAGATATTGCATTTTAAATATCCAACGCTAAAAGAAATCCAACATACGGAAATCCAATCTATACAGGTACTGCAGTAAGGTAGTGCAGTTACTGCGGTTCAGCGTAAATTGCATGGCTTGAGTGCCGTGACACCGCGGGAGTTGCCAGCTGGAGGGCATTTTAAATCGTGTACGCTCTGTGTGTGTGCAAAAGTCACGGAGGGGTTAGGCGTTCTATCACAGAGTTTGGGCGTTCTATCACAGAGTTTGGGCGTTCTATCATTTGACCTTAGGTCAATTGATAGAACGCCAAAACCCAAATCATTGTCATGTGATCTAGTTTTGACCAATCAGTGAATAAGAATCTATGTATGAGATATATAATATCCTTTATTTTCGTTATACTCCTTATCCTTTTACCTATAGAATTTTTTTTTTTTGGGGGGGGGGGGGAGGGGGGGCGGGGCGGGGATTGGTTTTACACATTGGTACACTTTTAACAAGATGCTGGGTTCAGGTATTTGTTCAAAATTGGGTATAAGAAAGGAAACCAGTTGGGGCATTGTTCCACAAAATGTTCAAAAGTACAAGTTGGCCGATATCCAATTTAAATGAGTTTAACTTTTAATACACACATTTCTATCTGATGTCGGCAAGCTTAGACTTCTGACAGTTTCGTGGAACAATGCTCTGCGGTCTAAGATTTTGTTATGTCAAACAGAATTTTGGGACCAAGAGTTGGGGTTTAACGGAGCTACAAGAATATGGACCAAAGCGTTTACCTATTATGTTATGTTTTGAAGATGGATGTTTGGAACGATTTTTCTTAAATTTGAAACTGAAATGATCTAATTATGCTTGACCATTTATCTCACTCAGGTTCCCATGCCGGTGCACTGCAACTGTACCCCTTACATCAAGAAACTTGAGAACCAGGTGGAAGCGAGTAAAGAGAGACTCCTGCATGAAATAGATATATCCAAAGCTCGCTTTGAGAGCAGAATGAACAACATGGAGAAGCGTATGACCCACCAAGCTCAGTGCATGGATCAACTGTGCAAGGAACGAATAGCAGCTGAGAAAGGGGACTGCATTCATAGGATAGATAAGAGAGCAAGAGAGGAGAGGAAGGCATGGTCGGAGGAGCATGATGCTCGGACAGATGTGCTGAGGAGAGAACTGAGGCACTGGTTTGAGTCAAGGATTCAGCCTCTCCATGAGCAGTTGAGCAGGACCATGGATGATGCAGAGACTGCATCTTCTACGAGGAGAAGTCGTCCCAGGGCGGGGTTCTACCGGTTGAATGGTCGCGAGGTGGTCACTCATCGAAAGAGATCAAAATCACTCGGGAATGTCAGTGATTGTGATTTAGAGGAAGAAGACGAGGAAGATAGCGATGAAGAGAGCGAAGACGAAAGTGAAGATGAGGAGGAGGAGAAAGAGCATGCAAGGAAGAACAGCCGTGTCAAGGAGCGTCCTGTATCCTCCAGTCAACCTAGCGAACAGTCTCCTCACCACTATAAGAAGACAGAGACGGCAAAAGCTAAGGACTATGCCAAGTCTGGTGCCATTCCAAAGTCATCCAGGAGTGGCAGCTTTAGACTAGCAGTTAGCGATGAAGATCGTGCCAGTGGCAGCAGTAGCAATAGTGGTACACCTCTCAGTATGGTTGATGGTACTTACCGACCTCCGCTCATTACTGCTCATGAACACTCCCCTAACACTGATTCCCATCACTCGCTTCCCGCCAATTTTGTCTTTCCATCTCAAGAAACGGACGATACTGAATCTTCAGAATCCTCGGAATCTGAAACCACATCTCAGCAATCGCTGGAGACGGTGTCGTACAAACCCAAATCAATAAGCGGTGTATCATCGTCCACCAGAGACTCTGGTCTTCACACCTTGAAGGGGTCCAGTGTGTCATCAGATCGAAGGTCGCATGGCCCCACCAGGGCAGACTTGATAGCCTATCAAGCCCTTACCGTCAATGCTAGACCACCCCCACCGTTACATGCTCAAGTGCGTCCCCGTCATCCAGTAAGCACTCAACCACCACCAGCAGAGTTACGCATACAAGCAAGCTACACACCTCCGTTCAGCCCACCTGTCTCGCCAACTTCAACTGCATCTCAACCGCGTTCAACGTCAACCCTCGCATCATCAGACGGACATAGAGTTGCTACACCAAGTACAGAGCAACCTTCAAGTGACAACCCTTCTCCAACAGACTCTGGGAAAGCTCACAGCACATCCTCTGGAATTTCGTCTGGGGAGGCGTCATCTCTTCAAAACTCCTCCCCGATCAAATATAATATCATCAGCCCCCACAGTGGACAGTCATACCAGGGGACCTACAACCCTCGTTCCTCATCCTCAAGCCATCAGCCTGATCTCTTTAAGGTCATCAAGTCTGAGACTATGAAAAAATCTCATGATGAACCACCACCTCCCTACAGGAGTAAAGATAGTGCTTCATCTGACAATAGATATAGGGTTGCCCAACCATACCTTCAAAATGTAAACAATGCAAACAATGATCAATCTTTGAATCAGAGTAGATCAAACGAAGTTCCCCCAAAAATTGGACATGCCCCAACATTGAGCAATCATTATGCAAGCTCATTACCTGGAGGTAGGACGATTTCACGTACAGATCAAAAGAGAATTGGCAGTGGAAGCGACTCAAGTACTAATGTTAAGACACAAAGCATGGGGTACTCTGCTGCACCCTCTAGATCAGCAGCCAGTCGGCTTGGTGTGACCCCTACTCTGGGTGCTGTTCGAGGTGTGTCCAGTAACAATAATACTACCTCTGGAAAGGGTCTCAATCAGCTTCATCTACAACCAAGAACTCAAGCTTCCCAGCAGTCCCTTCCACCAGGGTACTCAGTGGTCCAGGGAAGGAGCGGGAGCAACGGTGCTGTGTTTGCCATCACCAGAACCAACCAGTCACATGCCGGTAACCTCAACCGGCCAGAGATACCAGTCAACAAAAACAACAATGCAGCACCGAATTCAACGTCAACATTCGTCCACTCTGGCTCAATAACATCTAGCACCTCAAGAACGTTCAACAACCATGCAACATCAGGCAATCAGTACAATGTTCCTGCTGGTGCCGGTACAAGAAACAATGGTACCTTTAATGCTCCGAATAATAATTTTCATTGTTCTGGTGGAACAAAGGACAGTACTAGCGGTAACCGGGCTACTTCTTCCTCACACTCCAATAGGACAAGCAGGGAAAGCTATGCAAGTAATGGTACTTTGAGTTCAGATACCAGAAATCCTGTTCGAATAGGCGGTGCAATCAATGGCGCCGATCACTCTTCCACAAACTACACCATAGACAAACGGACTAGTGGTACCAGCAATAGCATCCCCGGTGTTAATTCCATGAGTACTAACAGAAGAAGTGGTGCAGCTTTCATTAGTAATGGTGCCAGTAACGGTGCAAGTCTTGTCAGTACTGTTGAAAGTTTTAATAGGACTGCTGCTCCAGAACAGAAATTGAAATACACCAGGGAAATTATTCTTTGAGTTGGCAAGTTTGAGCAGAATTCATGTTATTTATCTATTGTAGTGTAATTGATCTGTATCATGTATGCATCTAGAAATAATACCTTGACAGTATTCATATATCTCCAAGATCCCAAGTTTTTATAGTTATCTTGAGTTCTGGTGTGGGATCGATAGAAACTGATTTCTCAATGGATAAAAACAAATCATCCAGTTATTATTCAAGAATACATGTACTATGTTGTACATGTAAATATCTGCGGTACAGTTTTTGGTAATTGCTCAATTATAAGCAAAGAAAAATAACAACATTGACAAGGTGGTCTTATATGCAAATGTAAGTTGTGCTTTTCAATGAAATTGATTTCCAGAAAGTCGTTGATTGTAATTTATGAAATATTTTGCTGGTCTAAACAGCGCAACCACTGCATGATAATTGACTCAGAGTGTATTTGAGTCAGTTTCTCTTGAAATGCAACATCGTTATCAGAACTGGAGACTAGTTTTTAAATGGATAACTGTGAGCATGATGTGAATAAAAGCTTTATGGAATAAAGTCTGTGTCTGCAGACTACGTATTTGAGCACTTCATAACAATAGCACTACAAGACTTAACAGTACTCCTCCTCTTTCATTCCTCCAAGGATCAATTGTCGTCCTTTAGTTTTCATATCCAACAAACCTGGCAAGTCGTGGGGCTTACGATCAGTATTCCATATTACCTCTTTGAATAGGATGAAATGGTAACTATTTCTTTTTGCGAGATTTGAAATTCTCAAGCCATAACCAATCCACCAAATCTGCAATGAAAACTTGATTATTTTACTCTCCTTTGTGTGGGTATTTCTAAAGGAAAAAGCAGCCGCAGAAGCATTTTTACTAATACCATGAATCATTGTTGATAAAAAGTGAACCCTTTTCCAATAGAACTCTTTTCCATCAATGATATCAATATTTATATTGGGTTGGGATGTTGGGATATATGAAAATAATACTGCAAGGTACAGACATTTGGCACAGGATAATTTATGCACTCTGAAGAAAGAACTTGATATTATGCAGGTTAGGTTTTCAATGGAAATTATGGAAATTGGAAAATGTGCATTACTATAGTGAAACCTGTATGTAAAGACTGCTCAAGGGAGACAAGAAAAGTGGTCTTTACAGGCAGGTGGTCTCTATGTATAGGTTGCTTTAGTACATGTTTCAATGAGAAACTATTTTTGAGTGGAACAAAAAATGTGGTTTCTATAGACCTATGTAGACAGATTGTTGCGAAAGCAGGTTTGACTTTTTTAGACCACATATCAAACATATTGGCCCGAATTCACAAAGGAGATTTATCGACAAACCTAGGTTTATGTGCGTCATATGACGCGTTTTGACGCGTTTTTACAAACCTTAAAACGCGTCAAAACGCTTCATATGACGCACATAAACCTAGGTTTGTCAACAAACCTCCTTTGTGAATTTGGGCCATTCAGTTTGGATAAATTTTTGGATCCACTACACTAAGCCAGTGTGTAATTTGGAGTGGCAGTTGGTATGTTAGAATATGACATTGCTATCTGTATTATAGGTTAATGTAAACCTATAGTTTGATGATCATCTTCAACAGCTTCAAGATATTTTTAAACATGCAGAACATCTGTGTTGTATACTTCCATAGGCTTAAGGGGAATCAGTCGCCAAATATAAACACTAATAGAGGAAAATTGAAATATGCACACCTAGCGTGTATAGAATAAAGGCCCAACAAACAACTTTTTTTTTTTTTTTTTTTTTTTTAATTTAAACAAAATTATGTATGTGATCCACATCGGACAGTTGACTGGTGTGTATGTACAGGCTCATCCATTAGTCTAATGACAAGTCGCTTTTATCTTCATTTATAAAGATTTGGAATTTCCAATTTTTCTTTACAAATGTAATATTGTAGATGAACATTTAAATGTAATATACTTTTTTGGAACCCAACACTTCCAGAGCAAGTTATATTTTTGTGATTTATTCCTTTTCAGCTGTCCAAGTGGTTATAAATGATTCTTTCTTGCCCTTTTCTAACAATGCTTTCATAATTTATATGAAATCAACAATATGCCTTGAGTAACTGCTTTCACAATTTAAATGTAGAAAGAATTCCTGAGATTTTATAGCAATTTCCATATCGATGTTATGTGTATTTTATATGATGTCCTGCATGTAGGACTCCCCGTTGTCTTTCCAATTGTTTCTACTATCTTTTTTTAGAAGTGCTTTTTATCTGACAAAAAAAGTAAACCCAACTTTGGTAGCCCCTAATAAAAAATGACTAGTTGAAATTGGATTTTAAATAGAATTTTTAAAGGTGTTGCCAATTTAAAATCTTGTCGCGTTCACTTTGCCCATACAGTATTTTTTACACAATTGAAATACACCCAGACTGATTCTGTGGGCCCTGTCTATCTTATAAACATTCATGATTGATTCATATTGATTGCAACATGATATTAATCACAGCTATATATTAAAGTTAAAGACCAGTTATGGTCATGCGATTGCATTGTGAAAGAAATGTGGAATCGATCAGAAAAGGTTGATCATCTAGCATATAAGTATTGGTGTGTACTGCAAGGTTCTGGAATCATCAAAGTTATAAGAAAATTGGCTCAGTCTTGGTAAAGTTACCAGCACTGTACACAGAAAGATGTATATGGGACTCAGTACGTATTAGTAAAAACATATTCTTTCACATGATTGGTAATAAGAGCTTCCATTTCATTTTTTTGAGAGGGGGGGGGGGCATTTCCAAAACTGGTCTTTATCTTTAAAGAGGTAGTTGTCTTGTTTGGTGTTTGATTCCCTTGCAATCAATCTGGATCAATTGGAACTCCCTATAAGACGAATCTAGTTCCACATTGTATTTATTTTAACCCTTGACGGCCCTATCAATACATGATGATGATCACAAGATTTATCTTGACCAGGGGGTGTTTCACAAATATCCTAAGTCGGACTTAACTCTAAGTTGGACTTAAAAAGTATGGAGAGCCATTTGTAGCCTTAAAATAACATATATTCAAAAGAGAAAATTCAACTATTTTTTACTTTTTATAAATTCCACATCAAGAACATGAAATCTCCCATGATAATAGATAATATGAATGATTTGAATCAACATTTGATACCTTTTAAAATAACTTTTACAATAACTTTTACAAAATATTTTCAAGGATGCTAATGGCTTTCCATTATTGTTAAGTCCAACTTAGAGATAAGTTCAACTTAGGATCTTTGTGAAACACCTCCCTGACCTAACATTTGATATTACCTTGAAGTATTTTATCATACAAAGAAGACTACAGTGTACCAATCACTAAAACAGGTTTTGCTCTTGATGTAAGGGATTCCATCTTGCGGTACAGGTTTCGAAATCAAAGCTGTAAATGCTATTACTAAACTATCCAGTTCAGTTGTATACGTTTGCATCTGAAGCCTTGTCCGACTTGTGTTCCCTGCGCAACGTCTAATGTTATCCTTTATTTTTTGTCATATTCTACAGAATGCCATTTTCAATTTTTGTTAAAGATTAGTTTTATACATTATATGATTCTAGCTACACACATATTATTTCAGGTGATTGGCACACTTTAACAACTGTGAAGAAGTTAGATATCATACAAGTCAAATCCTACATTGCAAGGGTTATCCCATGTTATATTCAGCTGTGTATTCCTATTTATGGTATCTCTCATCGCTTTCATATTCATATTCATCAAAAGTGAAGTACTATTTACCATTTGTACTCGTGTGATTTTGTATTTATGACAGTTTTTGTACATATTTATACATAAGATATATAATAAATTACAAATCATAATCATTGCATTTAAGTAATATTATTTCAAGTGAATTTAAGCATTATCTAATGAAGTAATTAGGGGTTACATCGAAATTAAGATGAATGTTGCAATTATGTTAACTTCTAAAAAAATGGCAGCAATTTGTCGATGGAGAACAGATATAGGATTTCAATGAGGCTTATTATAAGGGGAGAAACCGCCTCTCCCCCCCCCCCCCCCCCATTTCAAACGTGTTAGAAAAATAATGAATTGGAGATATACAAGAAAGAAGAAAAAGGATTTATGATGGTAAAAAGAGTAATTTGAGATTTTGAGAAGAAGTGGGTAAAAATGAGATGAGATAGACATTACACTCTAATTGACAAAAGATGAGGAAGAGAAAAAGACGAGAGATAGAGAGAAGAGGGGATCAGGAGAGGGACGAGCAAGATGGAGAATGAGGGAGAGGTTGGGGTTAATGTTAGATGGGAAGAAACAGAGAGGAATTGACAGAAAATACAAAGTTCATAGTAGGATAGGAGCGATAAAAGGGAAAGTGAATAAAGAAAAGAAAATAAAGGGGGAAAAAAATAAGACAGGAAAGAAAATAAGATAGGAGAGAAGCAAAGGCGATAGAAAGGAAGAGAAGAAGAAGAGAAAAGAGACGTGAAATGGGACGGAGAAAAGAAAAGGAAGGAAAAGTGAAGGAAAATACTAATGAAAAATAAAACTTAAATAAACAAAAGAGAAGAAAAGAAAGTTGAAACCCACAGAGCATGCATCTATACAACGAAGATGAGTGGATATGAAAGCAATACGGAGCAGATTTACTTACCCACAAAGCATTCTATTTCTTAAAGGAGTAAACGAAAATGAAAGTATTCAAGTGGAAAGTACAACTTAAACGTTGATTATATAGTTCCACAATAAGATTTGTTTAAAAACCTTTATTGTTTTTCAAATGCTTTCCTTTTCTTCATCAAGGCCTTTGGATTTCGAGTGTTTAGCTGACTAAAGGTGAATCTTTACTAACTTAATGATATCACAATGACATCAAGACTCAGTGGCGTGTCTGGGCCTTGGCTTCGAGGGGGGGGGGGGGCGTTGGGTACATCATTCGAGCCAATAGTGATAATTAAAATGTTAATAAGCCTTAATTTGTATAGCGCATAGTAAACCAGAGTCTGTCTACATGCTCTACGCGCTTAACAAGGTAAATAAAATAAGAAAGAAAATAACATTTTATGCTGACGAAATGGGGTAAAACAATGCGAAAAATAATACCACTAGTACATCTCATACAATGAAGACGATTAATTTCTAAGACTTAATAATACAACAAATTACCAAGTACATCATATGATAAGCTTATAAAAGAAATGGCCCTGGAAAACTTTGTGATCAATATTCAGAGAAAAGTATCAATAACTATAGCTGTACGAACTTCAAAATCAATCATTAATGTGATTCAAGCCAACTAACAAAAAATATATAAACAAAAGAGTTTAACGATCCATGTATTTCGAGATTTCAAAAATTACTTGGACGGCGGGAAAGAGGGGGGGGGTTAGGGTGATGTATGTTCTTCTAAATCTGTCTAATCTCTTTTTTAATATTTTGTAAATTTTATAATTTTGTTTTCGATGTACTATTATCACGGTAAGTAGCAGCGGTATCCAATCGATGTATAGTTATATGTATTTGTATTTAAGAATACGTACACTTATGATTTCATACAGTTTTAACAGTAATTTGAAGATTATTCACCTTGCAATAATTTCCCCACTAAACTGAAACCGTCACGTATCATCATTTTCCCTTGGACTCGGAAATTTGTCGGGGGGGGGGGGGCAAAAATAATGCCCCTAGTCCCCCCCCCCCCCCCAGCCCCCTTCAAATACATCAGTGTCAAGACTGGGGAAGCGTAGAATTTCATTTTCTTCAAGTTGCGTGACAGTATTGAGTTTTGGTAATAGTGTTTAGTTTCAAGAGGATCGGTAGCTTCATTACAATATCTTAAATTGATAGAAATAAAGTTGCTTACTTACAAGCTCATGCTTTCTTAGCTGTCAGGTAAAACAAGATAACCAAAGTGGGGAAGAATCGAGATGAACATAATGAAAGTAGTGCTATAATATTATCATTCAAGAGCATAATAAATCAATTTAATAGCTGATATCAAATCATTTTCCCCACCACATCTGGTATCAGCACATTTTGTTCTTCTTTTTCACTCAGTTGTGTATGTGTACTTAATGGTAGGACACACCCTTCCCTCCACAGGGGAAATTAAGGACAGTCCGACACTTTCTAATTTTAAACGTATATTTAAACTGTATATTTTGCCTGTTTAATTTGCCAACTTCATTTGTTTTGTCATGTACTGTACGTCGCTTTTATGACTGTCATATTGTTGTGATTTTTTTTTTTTTTTTTTTTTTTTTTTTTTTTAATATATAAAATATCCAAAATATCTATTATTGTACTGAGGATTAGCCTCGACATATATAAGCCCTTTGCTGGTCTGTGTTTATGGACATTAGATTTTGTTCGCTATTTTTTTCTCTTAATATTATTGTTTGTTAATTTTGTGTTACTTTGCATTTTTTATATGACTGAACATATATGTGTATGTATATTTGTTTTGTTATGAGCCACATATGGAAAATAAAATTGAACTTGTGGCACGTGCCCACCATGCCCCCTTCTGTATCAGTCAGTTAAAGATACATGTTTTAGACTTAAACCGGTATAGTCCGGTAAATGTCTACAGATCAGGATCAGCGGATCCAGGATTTAGTCAAGGGAGTCGGGGGATTCTTGTGAATAAATGGTCTGGTCAACAAGTTTACAGGGAGCTAATCAGACAGTTAGTAGAGACATAGCACTTCGGCTTCGGGTATGCCACGTTGATCATTAAAGGGAAAGTCTACCCTAATATTTGGTTGGTTTAAATAAAAGCAGAAAAATGAGAATGACAAATAAGTGAAAGTTTGAGCAGTATCCGATTGAAAATAGGAAAGCTATATGGTGAATGTATAATTGAACATTTTTTTGAAGTTTGTTTAGTACAGGGCATACGAGAGGGAAGCTCGCAAGATACGTCAGAGAGTTTCTAATTTGTGTTTGATTTATCGCACCAAAAATTCACAACTTTCTTATTTTTAATCGGTTTTTCTCTAACTTACACTAACCTCTTTCTCTCTCATTTTCTGCTTTATTTTAAAAAAACTAACATAATACCAGGTATGGTGTGCCCACTTCCTAAATCCTTAACGGCACTAGGGCGTGTCACCTTAGATACAAAACCGCCATGCTGCTGCCAATGACATCAAGCAACTAGTCGCTTAATATGATGGCGGTCTCCCGTGTTCACAAATTCCAATAATTGTGAATTTTAAAGCCACATTGTACTACTTGTAGCTACTTGCTCCCTTCATATAGAAAACTTCCCAAATCGTTGCCTGTTGGTCCCCCATGATCCTCTTTTCTTATGTTAATTGAGAGCTGAGTTAATGAGATAGCCACCTGTCAGTGACCTCACTGGGTGGTCTAATCCCTTCTGGCTGATCTAGTATAACCGACCTTTAATTCTAAATTAACAATAATATTTATGTCTGAAAATGTGTTCATATATATGTTTTCTGTTATATAACATTTTTTTGTATTACGTTATTGAACGCATAGATAAAATTCAAACAAACAAAAAACACAACGCCCAACAAAAATACAAGTACAAATCTAGAATAATTCTTTAAATCATTTTATTCAGCCAGAAATTGGCTTAACGTGTCTCACATAATTATATTCACATTTTTACAGAAAATAAAGTTGAGCAAATCTGCCTCATTTGAGAAAACAAATCGAAGCATACTTTAACACCGCTAAAGTTCATAGCATTTGAATCTTTTAAGATTAAAAGTTGACATACAATTTATCCAACATGTTCAAGACACTTGATGCATGGTTTTCACAAAACCATAGTCACAAAAGAGATCAGAAGAGAAACAAGAAATATATACACATTACAAACATGTAGTCGTCCCAGTGAACAATCCCTATTGCTTAGGACAACACTCAATACTCAAAGAAAATCTTATTTACATATTGCATTTCTTTTCTTACAAGAGGAAGATTCTGTTGAAGGCACTTTTATAGCCTGAAGTCAAATATTTCACGAAACATTTTCACATTAAATAGCATATTTTGTTGAAAATAGATTTAACAAGTTCTGCGAAACTTTGACAAATTCATGTTGCGATATCAGCCCCTACGATACAACACATTGAATTTTATGAAATATATTTCTAAAACCTCTCTGCATTGAATAAGGCATACTTAATTTTCTTTTTTTCAATAAAATTTATAAAATTCGTGGACTTCTCCTAAAAAGCTATAGACTGCATTTTGGGCAAAGATGCAAGCGCTAAATAGTCACCACTCCTATGAAAGGCACTTTGTCATTGCATATTGACATTTTGAATCGTATTTGTCGATTTCGTTTACCAAGGCAACGAGACATTTTTCATAGAGCTGTTTATAATTGTCGAATAGAAAGACATGACAAGTCCTGATTGTTTTGTTTTCAAAAGATTAATTCTTTTTAGTGTTATAGACGCATACTATAACGCATTCTAAGTCATTATTTATTTCTACTTGACAGCAACATGGGTAATATAAAGACACTGATACAATTTCAACGTAAATTTATACGTATAAAATGAAATGGAATGATTTGAAAGGTGCAGTTTGGAAGATAATCTTTGGTCATTACAATATATTTCAAGGCACATTACGACGATAGCAATAGATGATTTCTATCTAATCTGAGTTACAAATCAATGAAAACATGTTTCATGTAATAAATTGATGATTTATATTTAATATTTGAAGCCATTTGATGACCTCAGAGAATAGTGTTTACCATTCTAATAGATCATGATAATTGAAACCAGTGCATTCAGTCCCTACCGAAAGACATTGATCAACACATCAATTATTGTTGGATATCATGACTCAAAGCTGGCATGATTATATATATTTTTTTTTTATGACCGGACTTTCGACCTTTATGGGAGGGGGAGAGAGGGGCCAGTGCCCCTGCATACGTTTTAAACCAACTTCATACTCTAATGAGTGTTTTAATATGTGGCGATTATACAGCCCCCCCCCCCCCCAACTCTTACGATGGTCGACGCCCCGGCTTTGTAGACATCAAATCAAGATAAGTGTTGACGACATGAGACCAACGAATCTATGTGATGAAGTTAATGCAATTGAGATTAGAATATACTTTTTTTGGTGGACAGTTGGTAAAATCGATTTTGATTTATCATTATTGATTTACCAATAGAAGCCATTGGAATTCATCACAAAGATTAACCTCTTTGCTTTTATGATACTTTAGTGCAAATATATTGGTGGTTATCAAAAACAAGTGATGCTTGCATTAAACCCCGTACTTCATTGGATAATGCTTTCATTGGCAATTTTCAGTATAGATAAAAAATAATAATAGAAACTACTTTTTGGTTCTCAATGGTACTACAGTGAGCTATAAAAAAATTAATCTAGAACGCTATCGCACTACAAGATACCAAAGGGCTTTAAATTACATTGAACATTAAGTTATGGTGAAGATGAGAGAACATGTCATCCTTCTCATTCTTTGGACGTAAATTGTGGAGAATATCATTGAGGAAAATAAAGTCCTCTCTCTATTTCAGCTCAGGACCACTGGCACTATGGGTAAAAATATAAATTGACTAAGCGCAGATCAGACAAAGGTATTCGTGGTAGTTTCTTCTCTATGACAATAGTTAGTACGTGCAACAGTCTTCTAAACCAAGTTGTGGTGGCTGTTTTTTATTCAGTTTGAAATAGGCTGGAAAGGCTTTGGCAAAGTGCTGAATTCAAGTACAATTACAGAGTAGCTCCCCCAGACCGCGCCTATACTGCGGGAGCACTACATTAACAGGATCTGACGTAGAGGCATCTCAACCTGTATCCAGAAGTAAACCCTTAAGTACATTATCTCATATCTTGTATTTATTGAGTCCCTGTTGGAGTTGAGTGAGTTCGGCTTTCCAGGCCATTTCGAATGCTGTGCAGCTTCAATTAAGGATCACCGCCATCATGGTTTGTCCCTTTATCTTAAAGCTCCGTGAAAATATAAGGTGTTTCGTGCAGTGATCTGTGTCACACTTTGCCAATGCTATCCGCCGTGATTGCAATGACAAGTCCGCTGTGATGTAGCCCGATCACCAACAGCACTGCTGCAGTCGAGACCGGCCTCGAGACCATGGGCTCACCCTCGGACCAAGACACGAGTACAAAGTCTGTGGAAGACTTTGATTTTCAGCCACCTCATGTCTCGGAACTTCTCTGGCCTCGATCGACTACATCAACAGTCCAACATTTAATGTTTTCCACGCAAAGACGTCTCCTAGCGTCAATTAACGCAGAATGACGGTCACATCATGTTCATTTTCACTGTTTCACGCATTTTTTGTTTTCCTAAAAGTGTTCGTTCTTCTTGTACAGATCTGTGAGGAGTGTATGGAAGGGAGTTGACCCGACGGCCTTCCAGAAGAAGATTTGCTCCAAGGTGGTCGGTCTGATGGCCCTTACGCTCGGAAGGAGAAGAAGAAGCTTGCCGAACCGGTAGGGCTGGGTTTGATGCCGAACCGTGATGTATTTGCTTAGAGCCAGCTGCGATTGGTCTTGAAGTGTGACGACTGAGGATGTCTCCTTGATTCCACTGATATCTGAAGATAAGAAGAAACAAAAAGATTTTGTTTATAATTCCAAGCAAAACATGTCATGCTGCGGTCACAAAGGTTCGTACGAACGATAATTTCGTACGAATCTCCCTGTTTTTTCATTGTCTTCCCGAATTTCCATTGTCTGAAAATCGTTCGTACGGCGTTCGTAGCAGTTCGTAATGGCATTTGTGACCAAGGCTTCAGTCAAACATAATAATAATTATGGAAATAACGCAAATAATTTCACTTTCACCCTGCATCGATCAGGTAAAGTGAGAAATAATGATAGCCGAACACCAAGAGAAGGGAAACCTTTATTCCTTTACATCAAACTGACAACAAGACAAGAGTCCGATTATGGAGTAAAAAGAAGGGAAACCTTTATTCCCGTCAACCCCTTCGCCTGCAGCATCAGTAACCATATTGCCATCCATCCAATTTTGCTTTATCCAACAAATAAATGCATACCTGAGAACATTCGCCCATCACTTACCTGTCTTAAAGATGACGATGCCTTTCAAGCAAGCGAATTCTGTGTCATCAACGTTGAGCTGCCTGAACTTGGCGATCAATTCCTGTAATACCCGCAGCTCACTGGAAATGGCCGCTAACTTCTCAGCTGGTGTTGTGTCGGGTTTCATACCTGGAGAGAAGGGGCAAAGATAATCCAGTTTAAAAATTTGTTCGACGGAGATCCGATATGAAGTAGGGCCTAATATTGTATTTGTTTGATATTTTCGAGCTCATTAATTTATTCTGAGAATTTCAATTAAAAAAAAAAAAAAAATCAAACTATTATCATTTATCATTTATCATTTATGATTGTGATGATGGTGACGAAGATAATGATGATGATGACGTTGATGATGACAATGACAAAGATGAAGATGACGATGTTTTATATGATGTTGAAGCAGATGGTTAAGTAGATTAAAACAGATATGAATAAAACAATGAAAACAAGTGTTACCTGCTGAAGCCATGAGACCAGGCCCATCTACTGTCATCTGCCATTGCGCTGCTCCCAAGATAAATAACTCTCTCCAGCCCTCTTCCAGTAACGTGAGCTGTAACAGAAGGGACCAGCGCAATATTAAAGTACAATTCTAAATTTCAATGGCACTTTCATATTTCTAAGTCATTTTTGCCATCTTTGAAGCTACACTGTATGAAACGTAAGAGAAGTCTAATTCCGAGTTCAATTGAGCATTTGTGGTAAATGTGTCTAGTCATTTTCACGAGCTATATAGGGTATGTAGAAGTTAAGAAAGGTCGTTACCCTTTCTTTTTTTTAAATTTACATTCCGAAACAAAACTATACTCTCGATTCCTCGACTCATAATGAGTTCCCTTGCATCCCATATTAGAATATAAGTTCATTATACGTCGATATGTTATCATCTATCATATGATCTATAATTTGCAATTTAAAATAGAACAAAACATTCTCTATAACTCATAATTGTCAGTGCACACCGACACATTTTCTCCCTCGATATTGTCATAATATTCTTCATCGATACCAATTATTGAATCTGACGGCACCGAATGTGTACTTATTGGAATGTTTTAGGCATTAACCGAGAAGAATGGATGTTGTATGCAATTATCAGGATTGTATCATGGAACTATTCAAATGTCAATGAAATAGTGCATTGACATATTAATGAACATCATCCATCGATACCAATTAAAGTGTTAAATGTTAGAGATCAAGTTGTTATACTGGTCTTAAAAAGTAACGCAAATTTAAAAGTACGTTGCCTTTTTAATGAGGGGAAATTTATATTAATAATAATAATAATACTCAGTTTTTATATAGCGCTTATTAGAATCAATAAGCACTTCCAAACTTGGAGATTATTACCCCGGCTTTAGCTGTGCTGCCATCGCGGCGCTCTAGCATTCCAAAGAATAAATTCCTGCCAGGTACCCATTTACATCACCTGGGTTGAGTGTGACAAATGTAGATCAATGTCTTTGAAAGACTTTATAGACAGATTAAAGAAATAGGCCCCTCAAGTTAGGTTGACAAACAAACTAGTAATGAGATGTGGTTCTCACCTGATCTGAGTATGGTAGCCCGATAAAGGCGGGAACGTTTTTAACCCATCTGATGATAAACAAACTAATAATGAAATGTGATTCTCACCTGATCTGAGTATGGTAGCCCGATAAAGGCGGGAACGTTTTTCACCCATCTGATGCTCATGAAGAGAAGACGAGCTGCTGTCTCACAGATGGCATCTACCGACCCAACGGGCGGCATCATCGTGACTGGTTCATGAGGATACTGCGAGGGTGAAGAGGAGGAGGATGAGGAAGAGAAGGGGGAGGTTCTCATAATTCCTGATAACACCACAATAAACACATACAAATCAAATAAAAAGGTTTACAACATGGAATTATAATTTTGACAGATCCGGAATTCTGTAAGAGGGGGGGGGAGGGGGAGGGGGAGGGGGCACTATTACGACAACAAAATATCTGACACAAACAATTTAAATCATATTTTCGGTGTTAATTTACTCGAATAATCGCTGTCAAGCAAAACAACAACAATTATTACACATTTATAGCTATGTGCCTTTTAGGTTACATATTTTTTTGGAGGGAATTAGCACATTTGGGGTGGATTGTGCAGTTAAGCGTTAAGCATGCCGACTAGGTTTTAAGTGGAGGACCTTGAGCCACCATCGAAATACAGTGAACATACCTTTGGGGTGGGATAGCACGGGACGGCTTGGGGTGAAAAACTGGTGTAATCTACGGGGCTGACGATGATGCTTGGATAGGACTCTATACCGAGTAGTGGGTGAAAGAAGGCCGGTCCTGGCAGATAACCGTTGGGGAGTAGCGGGGGAGGTAGATCACCGGCTGCCGCTGCGGCTGCTGCTGCTGCAGACTCTTTCAGATAAAGCGCCATCTGTTTCTTGATTGTCGAGTTTCTTGGGCCACGTTCATGCTGTACAGCTGCAGAGAGATGATCAAGAAAAGAGGCGGAAAATTACAGGATTTGTTTAACCCATACGGTTTGCACGGAATACGGAAGGAAAGTAGCTTAATCATTTGTGTTTCCTGAAACGAGTATTCAGAAGGTCAATCGAATATCTTTGTTTTATATTTTGACCAATTTATTTTGCCTAACGAGTAATTTGGATAATGACCGGTCATTATCCAATTCTATCGACCGGTCATTAGTAAAATCATGTTATAAAACATCATTTTACAACACAAATAAAACATAATCTTATAAAACAAATGAAACACATCATTTTGTTCGGGCATTAGTAAAATTACCCACACTCGGTACCTTCAGAACACCGTCCGAACACCCTCGGCTACCGTCTCTGGCGTATAGACTGTTCCAAAGTTACCTTGTGTAATTCTTACTAATGCCCTCACTGCTGTGTTTTATTTGTATAATAATCATCATCTTCATCATGATCATTGTCACGATCATCATCATCATTGCCACCATCATCAACATCATCATGATGATCACTGTTTTCATCATCATCATCGTCATTATTATTATTACTATTACCATAATCATCTTTATCATCATCACCACAACCTCCATCACCGCCATAGTGATAATTCTTCAGTACCAATCTTATATGATTAAGATAATTCAACGCTTTGATTTCAGCCCAAAGTTAGTTTATAATTGCTTTATTTCAGGTTTAAACAAAAAACATAAACAAAAGCTGAACGAGGCTCTGTTGTGTTATTTAAAAGACACTTCTATAATAAGTTGGTATATTTTGCTTTATACTCCCAATAAACTTCTATCAAACTCGATCAGATATGTCCATAATGAACATTCATATCATTAAACCTCTGCTAATTCTGTGCCGCTTCTTATCCATTAAAGCACTATAGGTATACGCAGCCGATTTCAAAAGCAGTATAGTGGTATACTGTTCTGTATACAATGTTCTTATTTCGCTAATATACTTCCTGAAATGGGAAGACTGTATAAAGAAGAGGAAGTAAAGACTCTCAATTCATTTGCCGACTTAGTTCTCATCTCATTAATGAACTCCAAGATCAAGTTCATTTATTCCCATATCCAAGTTAATCCTTTTACCTATCAATGTGATTAACATCCCATTAATCCGATTCTAATCTTATCCCTAAATAACGGGATCAAGAGGCGGGCGGTCATTATCACTTTCATTGACCAACCGAGAGATTACCTGTATGTTCTTTCTGCCATTATAACCACCGTATCAGGTTAGGTAGAGCACATTTGGGCCCTGTCTTATCAAGAGTAGCTATTGACACGAATCAATCGCAAGTTTGCAGTCTCATATACACCTGTATCTAATGTACATAGTTGCGATTTATATCAATCGCAATTAAATTGCGTTTAATCGCAACTTTTCTTTTATTTAAGACCGGGCAATGAAGTGTCCTTTTGAAAAAGATCGCCTTTTCAATGTTGTTAAAAAGCTATGCTGTGGTAAAGTACATTATTGGAACGCGTCTTGTTCCTTACGAAAGGAAAGGATGTAATACTTTGTGGCGCCCGGGGAGAAAGGGAAAAGACAACGCGAGGCTTTATTTATATTAATGTTGCACTAAACAGAGATCAAAATACACGATTACACACAACTGTACAAAATACTTTTTTTTGTATTGTCAACTTAAAAAGTTATTTGTCAAGATATAAGATTTATTTAGCGTATATTTCGTCATATTAGATCATACGCACAACAATAAACGCCAAAGTAAATGACCTTGTCGAAGATAATTTATGTTACTTAGCTTCAATTTGATTTCTCTGTTGTTTTGACAATGGTCACATTTTGTTTATTTCTGTGTGTATCAATAATAATGTTAATACTCTCAATGTTTCTAATATTCATCATGATCTTTGGATAGCATTCGGGACTGAATGAATACAAATATGTCAAATAAAGTAATGACTGCTGAGTCGGTCTCTAGTTTACTCACTATTGCAACTAACATCGCAGACATAATACGTGTATATTCTATTTCTCATTTCTTCTCTCGCTGACAAAAGTCAACCCGCATACGACAGAGCCAGGTCATCTATTTGTAGCTTATGTAAGCATTCCTATAATGAGTCAATTTCAGTTCCCACCACTTTCGTATTTACTTTTCGTTTAACGACAATAGTTGAACACCCGTAAGAGCATCTCGGAAATTGGTACAATTCATCGGGGGCGTCATTAGCCGATTCATCTCGATTTCTGATAGTGTCTGACGACAACCCCCCACCGAAAGACCAAACATAACTTTTCTACAACACCTAGCATCCACAAAGAAACTTGTCACTTAGCAAAAAGTCATCATACTATTTCCTATTGAACATGTTGCATAGTTTTCATCCTATTTCATATCAAATAGTGTCTGACATAATATTTCTTGCTAAATAGTCTCCGTCCTATTTTTCATTGAATAGTCTTCCTATTTTTTGTTAATAGTGTGCATGCTCCTCCTTGTTTAATGGTGTTACTCCTCTTTGAACCCTTAATCACCACTTCATGATTCACACCGGGCTTAGTTTTTGAAAACTCGTTGGAGTCACAAAGGCAACTGGTGGCAGCAGCGGGATACTGTTCTTAGTCAAAAAGTACCATGACTACTGGAAGGACATACAAGTTTCAATGCTGATTCACTTCGATGACCACCTGAGATAGAAGTATTTACATTTTATGAGTCATCCGCATATTAGTATACTCCAATTGCAAAATGCCATTGCTATGTTTACACTGGGTGTATTGATATAAAAAGTAATTGGGAAATAATGTACACTTTTTTCTCGTCACAATTTTAAATGACTACACCCATAGGCTTCATTTAACACTGTGTATCATTATCAATTTCTTATGCCCGAACGCACGCTATACGATCTGTCGACAATCCGATTGTGGAAGAATGTGCAATAGAATTTGATATGAATGATTCAAACATGTAAGATCTACACGTCCGAGGATAAGCAAAGGCACCTGATTCATACAATCTAAATTTCAAGAGATTTACACCACAGAAGGATAAAAAGCTAACTTGGCTATTAAGAACCGTATAGTGATGTCTTAAAAGGAAAGAACTGAAGTAATTGAACCATTGCACTATTGAAGATTGATAGTAATAAGAGAGAATTTTATCGCATGTAAAATAGATATTTGAAGGTGAAGGACGAAGAACGTATTGAATCTTGAAGTATGCATTATTTTGTGTGTCTATTCAAAACTTTGTGGGATTTAATTTTGTTCTCCTGCAATAGTATCATTTTGTACATCATGTACATGTTTAGTCTCGTCTGGCCAATGTCGTATTATCACGATTTATGTTGCTCCATGAAGTGCAAGCAGGAATTGTGGGACGGGCAGACTTTCGAAGGAGATCATTGCAAGCTAAACCTTCTTTGAATTGTTTTTAATGTCACAGGAAAATGCAAACACGATAAACTGTCTACAGTTATAATACGTTTAATTTCTTGCTTTTCATTCTAAGATCAAATCCTTGGGATCAAATAAGTGTGATGTGATTATGGAGTATGAATATCACAAATTATTATGTACAGATATTTAGTTTGTCAACGGCATTCTTGTATTGTTGTTAGCATAGGTAAGATGACTAGAATGTCATTTTTCTTTTAAAAAGAAATCAAGTTCCAATGTTCAGCTTTTTCTCATTTTCTTCTAATAAGGCATATCCAATTGGGGCAATTTCATGCTTAAAATGATATACTTTTCAACGCAGTATTCGGATAATTGTAATCAGTATCATCTTGAAGAAAAAAAAACATCTTTTAGCTATTGCCTCATTTCTTCATGTCGAATTAAATGCATCTGACGATACAAATATTGTACGATGAGACGCCAATTCATTAACAGATTAAACATACATTTCTTTTGGTTTTGTGAATGTAAAGTGTGCTTTATACAAAATTAATGCGCGTTGAAATCTGGCGAACATTTCGCTCAGAAGATTGAACGATTTTTAAAATGATGGGACAGATTTTCCTTCGACATTTGGCGTCACTTGGTCTTTCTATACCTGCGAATGCCGTATCAATATAACTTTCGCGCCAGGTACAACAACCAATCTATTTTTTCTTCCTCTCCTCCTCCTTCTCCTCATCCAACATAAAAGGGAAGTAGTCACTCAATAAACATTTCGACTTCAAGAACCACTTGCGGTATGTCAATTTTATTTCAACTTTCCTTCTCTCCTCAATGTCTGATATAGTTGGAGGGGCTGGATCGTTTAGCGGTGGACGGCTTTTTGTCGCAAGCACGTAGATGTTTGCGCAGCTGGGTCGAGTGCGGAGTGCTCCGCAATGCAGGGTGGAAAACTGTCCCGCGGTGAGTATTTGGTGCTCCTATTCATTACTGACTCTGTACCAATCCATTTGGGGGAGCTTGGGCAAATACTCGCTAGAGTCTGAAGTGTAGGGATGGGTCTGAGAATGTCAACATCTGACAAAGATATTAAACACCCCTGATACCGACTGATCTATGTACTCCTCCTTCTCACATCATAACACCTTTTTGCTTTGAAAATTCCCATGGTTTATTTTATCGCTTACGGTTATAATGAAGGTGTGCGTGTGCGAAAATGTGTACGAAGATTTTAAATTTACAGTAATATTACTCTTAAAATATTCAAAAATTGCTGGGGCTTACATAACATTCTATATGAAAACTAATTTTAATATATATATAATGGACAACAACAAAAATGGTCACAACGAAGCGTATAGTTTATGTTAGTACTTAAGTTGGTACTTACGATAATATCCATTAGCTTTCACTCATCTAAATTTGTATTCGTTAATGCTAGTCAGCAAATTGTCAAAATAATATAATGGACAAAAATTCAGCCATTGGAAACATAATTACTTGTTTTGTTTCTACAATAAACTTTTGCAATGGAGATCAGAAGAAGTAAGTGACGTATGAGTAGCAATCCTAATACCCATCCAAAAAGATTACTCTAGTTTTTTATGTCACCACTTCCCCAAGTACCCAGTCCTAAGTCCGATACCGTGTTCCCAATCCCCCCTTGGCTCTTCATCAAGTACTCTTTGGGGATTAACATGCCTTTATCTCCGTCCTCTTACCGGCTTGACTTCAACTCAAGTGGATGCCAATTCTCACGTATACTTCCAACCCCCCCCCCCCCCCCCTCCTCCACATCTTCAGTCATTATCCTCTGATCACTCATGCACCATTACGACTCATCTCGGGCCCTATTATCACCCCTCTCTGGGCAAATACGGTAACCGTGCATCGTCTTCAT